ATGCACAAATGTGTATATGTATGCATGCTTATGTGTGTGCATGTATCTATGCCTATGGGTGTGTGTGTGTGTGCGTGTGTTGTGATGTATATGGGTGTGTGTGTGTGCATATGGTCTTGCTGCACAGGCGTAGGTTCCAGACCTAGAAGAGTGTGCAAGTTTTGGTGACACGTGGAAGTGCTACTCTTTAGGTCACTTTTAATGATGGAACTAGAAAATATCTTTGATGACCATGTGAATTGACTTCCTTTTTAAACACGCCATGCTCATGACAAGAAAAGCCCATCACGGAGGTCTGAGCCCGTCCCTGGAGCACCGGCCCCTGTGTGCTCTTCTTGGAGCTCCTGTGACCTTTCCACCCTCACATGGTAGGTGGCCAGCCCTGCCCACTCCTCCTTTCTTTTACAGTGAGACTTTTCTGCCAGTGCCAACCTCTCCTCTTTGCCCCTTCCCCTGAGGTGCTCCCAGTGTGGGGGAGATGGAGCAGATGGAGCCACAAACCCATCGGGATGAGCTGAGTGATCTGTGGTCACAAAACCCCCAGGTCCCTATATTCCCAACTGCCAGTTTTATGCTTTATATCCATGGTTGGTTGTCTGGGCACTGTGGCTCATTTTCTTAGGGTGAAGGCTGACTGAGGTTCCCCCAGCTCATGCTCTGGGGTATAGGGCAGTGTGATGGAGCATGTGGGAAGCTGACATGAACAGTGCAGGTGACAGATGTTTCCTGTCCTAGTCACAGGGCCTCTCCCTGCCTACTGACTGACCACTGTGGACCAAGAACTGCAGCTTGACCATGTTCCCATAAGAGCAGTGAACCTTGGTGACAGTGCTGGGGATGACAGAGACCACCAGTGGCCAAGTGGACACTTATCTTGTTTTATTCCTATTTCATGTTTCTAAACACATACCCCAGCATGAGTGTTACGGCTCATGTCTACATGCCCTCCAAAGCCTCATGCACTCATAGCTGGGCTTCTTCAGAGGTGGTTGGATCTAGATGTGTGATGCTGGGTATGATTCATGGTGCAATTAGCATTGCACCAAGGGCACTAAGATTAAGGGTGTGAGATCTACCCACCCTAAGTAGTCTGGATAAGACAAAAGGGGCAGTAAGACGCTGTTAAGGTCCCTTGTTGCTTTTGCTGCCACTGCCTGCAATGAACTGTTTCTCCTTTGGGATGCCCCTCTGCCATGTGCCTCTCTGCCTTGGAGCCAGCTGACTACAGACTGAAACCGCTACATACTGTAAGCCAAGCAACTCTTTCCTCCCTTAACTTGTGGGTGTTGGGTATTTCGTCTCAGCAATGAGAAAAGGAACTAAGACAATGATACTCCTAAATCTTGGTAATCTCTTACATACTAATCAATCTATTTTTGTGTGTGCACCTTAACTCAACTATCAAACAAAGGTGTTAGTAAAAGTCTGGCTGATATTTCAGAAAATGGCAGACCACTTCACAATAATAGGGCAATGCGTACTCCTTGGGGAAGGTTTCTTGGAGAGTGAGCGTCTTGGGCCGGGTGGGGAGCTGGGCCAGGGCAGTGGACAGGGTCCTTTCTGGTCTCTGAGCCCATTCTGGTAGAGTAAGAATAATCACTGTTGTTTCACTGAGGAGAAACCAGGGCACAGAGGTAGGCAGCTTGCTCAGGGTAGGGGGCTTCAGTTGGATATCAAAGCCACTAAACCCAAAATTTGGGCCTTTGGGTGATGAGGCTGGATCCCAGCCTCATCCCCTTTGCCACTGTGTTTTGGTACAAAACGACTGCTTATTGCAGGGGAGAAGACCATAGACCATACCCATTCTCACTGCTGCAGAAGGCAGTGCTGGGGCCTGTCCAGCCTCACTCCGTGCTCCTCCATGCGTGCTCAGGTCCTCTGCTTGAACATGCACAGGCGTTTGTGAGCGCCAGCTTAGCTGAGAACTTACAGTGCACCGGTGGGGGTCATGGAAAATGTATCTGAACACTCAGGAGTTCCGTTTGGCTATAGCCGTTGGGAGCTGAAAGGTGCAGGCAAAACAAGGAAGTGTGTTTTTTACCTTCGGATGTCATGAGAAGCTGTTGGCTCGCAGCCAGGGCTGGCGCAGAGAGCTGCCTCCCGTGACCATCCCAGGGGCCTCCCAGCACCCCGAGGAGGAGCCCTGTCTTGTTGTTCTGACAAAGAACAGGGAGGCACGGGGTGGGGCCGAAGGGCTCTTGTTGACTCAGCTCTTCCCCTTCTTGTCCACGCTGCTCCTGGAGGAAGCTCAGCCCCAGGGCCGGTCCTGTCTGCAAAGGTTCCTGGGAAACCACGTGCAAGTAAAACCAAGGTTCGCTATTGAGCAGAAGGGGGCTAGCTAGCAATTTTGGCCGCGGTGCTTGTCAAAGTGCTGTTGTAGCTAATGCACTTCCCCCGTGCCTCCTAGATTTGGCTTTGGATGGGAACTATCATTAGGGATTTAGAGGTACAGAGAGTTGGTGGAAGATGTACTCTTTCCAGGGTCACAACAGGCTCAGATCTGGGGATTCGTGCTTGCTGGTTTTCCTGCGCCTTGGGGGAGTTTGTGTTATGACATCTCCTCTGAGGCTGCCCGAATGTTTCCTCGCTGAGGAACAACCTACAGAGCAGCATGTACTACAGCCCTGGAGTACAGAGAAGTGGGGTCTGCTCCGCCTCCCAGGCAGGATCATTGCGGAAATCCTGCAGGTTTCAGCAATCAGTAGCCAGGGAAGGTGGTGGCAGCCCAGCCAGTGCGCACTGCATCCAACAGGCCTTTGCTTTCTAGGGTACAGCGTGGCGGATGGGAGGGAGCTGAGTGTTGTCTTCTAGGCAGGGAAGGCTCCAACCCTGTTCCTGGGCTGCATGCTCTCCTGATGCCAGGACAAGGGGTCATCAGCATCGGGACCCACTGACCTTCATTAACTGAGCCCTACATCTGTCCTGTCCTGTGCACATTTACCTTGCCTGGGGCTGCGCCTGCATCCCAAAGACACCAGGGCGGTTACAGCTCAGCCCTGACCATGGAGGTCAGATGAACAAGACAGCGTTGATGGGGAGCTGGCCTTGCCCGGGACCTGATACCCTCCACAGGTTCACATGGACTCCGAGGGAGGCACTTTGTTCCTGGGGTCCAGGGGAGAAGTCCCTTTCAGCTTGGATCACCACTGTGCAAAGGTGTGCATGCAATTCAGAGTGTAGCGAAGAAGGTATAAAGTGAAAACAAAGGGCCTTTCCCTGTGTGCCAGCAATTAATCCTCTTCCCCAGAGGTACTGTAAGTCTACCAGGTTCTCAGCACCCTTTGGGATAGTCTCCATGTGCGCACATGTGTAGCTCTGCAACCATTTTTATGCAAATGGTAACCGAACACACACTGCACAGCAAGCTGCTCTTTAAAAACAAAATACATACACTGTACCTCAGAGAGTGCTGCAGCCCAGCGCGTTCAGCACTGCCTCTCCCCCGAGTCAGGCTGCAGGGCATCAGACTGTTGCAGGTACAGAGATGTATGATTTCCCTCCTGACAGGTCTGGGAGGTTTCCTGTCCGAGAAACGCTGTGATGAACAGCCTTGTTCTGTATTTTTGAGGACTTCCGCAGATATTCAGGATTAAACAGGTGAGTGGGACTTCCAGCTAACAATGTATGTGTGCATCTGAAATGACAGATTCTGCCAAAATGCCCTGTAATAAGCAACCTGGTACAGACTACTTCCTCTTCGGTCTCTTCTCCTCCACTCAAGCAGTCAAAGTTTTTTTTTTTTTTTTTTCTCAAAGATTGTCTAAGCCCTGCTTAAAACTGCCAGAAGCTGCAACAGACTCACAACTATAATTCTGTGTTTGGTGAGTCCCTGAGCTCTGTTGCCTTCACCACAGTTCTGCCACTCCAGCTTTCATGGGTCTCTCTAATGTATCAGCTCTCCCCTACCACAGGGCCTTTGCACGCATAAGTCTTTTCACCTGCTGCCCTGAGATCCCCACTTAAATGCAGCTTCTCAGATGGTACCTCCCCATGCAGGCCTTCCCCCGCCTCAGTGATACGCATGCCCTCGCGTCATTAGCTGCCATTGTGTTCACTGTCACCCTGCACAGCAGAAGCGAGCGCTTAGAAGCTGAGGTTTTTGTCTGTATGATAAGCCCTGTGTCTTAGTGATGGTGTCTGACACTTAGCAGGTATGCAGGAAATAACCGCTGGCCCTGAGCCTCTGCCATGTGACGGCAGAAGATGCCATTTGATTGCTGTCTTCATGACTGCTGGGTGGAGCCTGGCACTGAGGCAGTTTTACAGGTCTGCATTTCTATGTGATTTACAGGTCTGCATTTCTATGCGATTCAGTTGCCTGTTCGCCCTTTCCCATTTTCCTATAGGGCTTTCTTTTTTTAACTGAGAGGTAGAAATTCTTTGCATGCAATATATGTGAGCACTTCAGTTTTGTTGCCAATGTCTTTACCTTTGCACTGCGTAGTAATCCATTTTTCCATTTAAGTGCCTAGTTTTTGTGCAGTCAAGTTCGTTGGCTGATTCCTAGATGGTCTCTAACCATGGTGTGAAGAAGTCCTCTCTGGCTCTGAGGGGGGCCTCTCCTCACAGTGGCCCGGGCCCAGGGTGGGGCTGCACCCATGGGCAGGAGAAAAGAGAGGTCTGGCTTGTTGGGGAGCCTGGGTGTCTGCAAAGCTCTCTGGCTGCAGGTGGGTGACAGGGCGCAGGCTTTGGGTGGGGGTCAGACAGGACCTGGATTGCATCTGGGGGGTCAAGTGGGCAGCAGGGAGCACAGGGCGGAGGTGGAGGTGAGAGGAAGGGGAGAGTGGGGATCCCCAAGGCCCTGCCAGGAGGCAGCGTGGGGGAAGGCAGGGAGGCGGGTGAGAGGCACATGCTCTCCCCAGGCCTGTGACCAGGGGGCAGGTGGAGGATGTCCGCGGTGGGCTGAGCAGGGGCATCCATTCCTGCCCAGGAAGCTGGTGGGCCTGGGAAGGACCGAGCCTGTGCTGCTGTCACAGCACTTGAAAGACAGACGCCACGGCTGCATTCTTGAGAGTCTGTTTATTTTCAGATAAAAGGAGTCACATCTGCCTGCACACCCCAGCCAATCTCAAGTTTGATTTCTATAATTTAACTTTCGAAAAGCTTTAAGAGCTTGAGGCAGGGTTTGAGCTCACGTTCAAACCCCGCGTCCTAGATTAAGCAGCCATAAACGATCACTCTTGGCAGAGATGTGGCTATGTGTACACGTGTGTGCGTGCACGGTTTACACAAATGCTCGCTGTTGTGCCCATTTGTGCCCCTGTGAACAACTTCGCCTTGTGCAGTGTGCCGTCCACGTGTGCAGTAGGTGTTTAGCAAATACATAATTTGGTATAAGCCCCATACGATGTGATTTCACAACCGGCGGCCTAACCGCTGAGATATTACTTAATTTGTTAAAGTGATAAACAAGATTATGATGTGCAAACAAACAGGGCTTGTGCTCCAGCTGCGTCGAGGTTTATTTTACCAAGCTATAAACACAAGACCCTTTCTCCGGTGCCGAGGATGGGGTTTCCCCTTCCTTTTGTTGGCGAGAGAAGAATGTAAGGGCGAGCGGGCACTCTCGCACTGGGCTTTCCGGCTGCGGCACTCAAAGAAACTCATTCATTGCCCGGTGTCCTTACGGGGGTTTCCCACACAGAGACTTCGCTGAGCGGGAGATATCTGATCTCGGCTGGCCCATGCCGGGCCCCACGCTCTGGGGACTCTGGAGCCTGTGAAATGGGCTGAGAGACTGGAGTGCTGAGGGGAAGGGGCAGGGGCCATAGCCCTCCTCCGGCCCCGCCTGAACTGCTCCTTAACTGAGAGTCTCTAGTGTAATTCCATCTGAAACTTGGGGCTGCAAACCGGGCGGGTCCATTATGCCACGGAGGACCTGCCTCCTTTTGTGGGACCCAGCCCAGAATGGGACTCCCCTCCCTTGCTCCTAGACTGATGGAGGGGTAGGAGGAGGTGCCTCCAGAAGACCCCACCGTGTTCCCTTGGGCTGTAAAACCAGCACAGGGAGGCGGGGGATCCAAGTAACTGCCCTGCAGAACCTGAGAACTCCCAACCCGCCACCAGACAGGTAATTTCCCAGCACTTCTTAGCAGCATAGGGTTAGGTGAAAACTCCGTCAGTCTTCTGGGTCCTCAGGGACTGCAGCGGGCAGGGAGGCTACGGCCTGGGCTGGCCAGGTCACAGTACGCTTCTTCCGCAGGAATTACCTTCTCTTGCGTGTGCAAGCTTCCAGCCGGCCCAGCTCTTCGTAGGACTGGTAGAAAATGTCAAACTCCCTGGTGCCCCAGCCCCTCCAGACAGCCAGGCACCACTCTGTGTTTTCGTTTTCAAAGCCACATACCACTGTGTCCTTTGCCACCACAGCTGCGTCCACCAGCACCCTGCAGAGAGAGGGGGTCTGAGGAAACTCACAGGGGTCCCCACTCGCTTGGGCCCGGACCCTGTCCTTGTACATCTTCAGGGGGACAGAGCCAGCCAAGGGGACTGCGTGTGTCCCAGCCTGGCTCTGGGACGTGTTCCAGTGCCCTCCAGTCTGGTCTCATCTGGGGGCGGAGGCTTTATAAATCTCACGAAAGCCGAGGGCATCAGTGCATGCCCGTGGGCTCTGTCTGTAAGGCACTGACTCTGGAGAGCAACCGATGCTTCCACACTTGCCTTCCGCCCTCAGAGGGCCCAGAAAATGCCATCAGCCTGAATTCCCACCGTTGCACAGCCCGTGACCGAGCTGAAGCTGGCCAGTTTCCTTGCCACAAGCTCTGCGGCACTGTCTATTTTGCTCCCGCGTGCTTAGGAAAGACAAGGCTGTGGACTGTTTTGCAGGAACCGTGAGCACAGTACAAGGGTCTTTTAGGGCCACCCTGGGCGGCTCCCGCAGCCTCCCTGCCTTTGGGGCCCTGCAGAGCGGGCAGCCTGCCTCTGGGCACCCACCGTCTGCATCTCCTGTGCCCACTGCATGTGCCCTGCTGGGCGCCAGGACTATCCTGCAACCAGGGTATGTGGGGCGTCTGAATCCTGCATGGCTTTGCCAGGTCCTGCCTTTCAGAGGGCTGCGTGGGTCTTGGTAAGACTCAGCTTTGGGGAATGAACAGGAAAAAGGACAGTAGGTAAAAATTAGGAGACACTCATGGCAAGCATACCAAGGTCAACCAACCCGGGTTCTGCAGACCCACTTGATCCTAGAAGCCTGACCTGCTGGCTGGGGACTACCCTGGCTCAAGTGTACCACACAGCACTCATCCAGGGCTTAGGAGCAGACCGCACTCTAGTTTCCAGAACCACCCACAGAGCAAGCCTGGGAGCAAAACTGCCATGATGTCTCCTTGGTCACTGTCCTGCTCTGGGGGAAGCAGGCTGAAGGGCATTTCTCCATCTCTGCGTGCTCCATCCAAAATAAAAACCCTCACCGACAGGTGAGTGGTAGCTCAAGCTGCAGAGAAACAGGCTTAGTGTGAAGGGAAAGGCTCCAAAGTACACATGTGTGCACACGTACATACACATGCACACACACACGCAACTTGAATTCATAGCACTAAGGAGCTTTTCATGAGGGCGATTTACTTTCTGGGGCTCCAGAGGCAGCGTGTACGTGGGGAATGTTGTCAGGAGCTGCGGTCTAGCACCAGGCTTACATCTGACCCATGTACCTGGTGTCCTGGACAACCTGTCCTTACAGATGTGCTCAGGGTGGGCACGGCCATGCCTCCTGGTGGCATCCACCCCCGCTTGGCCATGGTGAGGAGTAACTGCCATGTCACCTGGCTCTACTGGGTACTGATGGGCAGGTGGGCCACCCCTGGCAGGGCTCTCTGCCTAGCAGGAAGGACAGTGAGTCAATGGGAGGGATCCCTATTTCTCCTGCACTCGGCACCAGAGATGCACTTGGTCTACAGGGGCAGCAATACCCCAAGGCAGGAAGCCTTGGCCAGAGGCTGAAGCTTGACTTAGCTGGTGTTTGCTGAGCTCCCCAGGAGGACCCTGAAGGACCCCATCTTGTTCCTGCTTTGCCCGATGGCCATACTAGTGGAAGCTGATGCTTATTCATCGGCACAGAGGTCCACAGGGCTGCTGGGCTATCACCACGGACCTGGCGACCAGGCCTTGGATTTCCCGTGCTGTTCCTCTGGGGCCCAAAGAAGCCCCTCTGGGTCTTACCCATGTGGAGTCAGTTCTCGGGCTTTCAAGACAGCGATGACTCGGCCCCGCTGGGCACCCGAATCCTTCTCCAGACCGATGACTATAACATCTCCACCGTGCCTAAGAAACCAAAGTCAAGGAAGGGAAGTGTTTTGGGCACGGCTGGCCATACTCTCCGGAGGGAGCGGCCCTGGGTGCAGAAAGGCATGGTCGGGAGGTAACCAATGTGCAGTTTCTGCTACAGCATTAAGTTACACAGAGGGCACAGCTTTTGAGGTAGACGAGAACTTTCCCAGTCAGAAACCTAATGGCCCGGGACTGTGTGGTTCTCCTTCTGCGGCACGTGAGCTCTGCAATGGGCAGACGAGCTTTCCAGGAGCCCTTCTGAGATTTGCTGAAGAGGCCCCTGCTAACTGCACAGAGAAGGAGAAGATCCTTCCAGAAGAGCAGCCCCAGTGGACCTGGGTGTTTTCTGCTCACCCTGCTCCCAAGGCAAGAGCAGCGGGCAGCCCAGGATGTCCCCCCCTCAGGACACTCACCTTGGAATCCAAATGAGGTCTCTGACAGCAAGCACCTTCACGGCCTGCAGGCGCTGGCTGAAGGGCTCCCCGTCCATGGGGCTCAGGTCGTGCTCGGACCTGTCGGAGGCCGCGATAGGCTCCTGCCGCCGGTCGGAGTCCTCGCAGTCTGTGGAGAAGGGCACGCTGGAACAGCTGGCCGGGGAGCTGAGCAGGCTGGAGGGGCACCTGGTGGCCCGGTGGGGTGGGGAGGAGGAGTAGGAGGACATGGAGCAGTAGTCGGTGAGCGAGTCTTGGTGGGTCAGGATCTGTGTGCCCAGCTCCTCGCTGTACATGATGCTCACGTCTGCGATGCAGTCTCCCTCGGGCTTCTTTGGGCAGGCCGGATGACTGTCCAGGGGTTCGGGACCCGAGGGCTGCACGGGGAACATGTCCCTGAGGGGGCTGGGGTCTCCACAGAAGTAGCGGGCACACAGCTGGTAGGTGGCTGAATGGTACATCACCAAGGAGTTGGTCTTCTCGTCCAGACACCAGACGACTTCCTCCCCTCTGCAGTCTGAGCTACACACGACTGATGTGATCACTGAGGGGGCGGCATAGGGCTCCAGCCGCCCAATGATGTCCAGGGTTGCGCAGTCGACGATGAGGAGGCCTGGCCCATTGCTGTACCAGATCTCTGACCCGCTGTTGACCACTTCCATGGCCTTCACCGGGTAGGGGTTCTGCCGCGCATCTTCGTCTGGGATGCCAAACTTGGACCTGTTGGCTGTGTGTGAGCACAGGTAGGAGCAGCTGTCCCTCGGAATGCCCCGCACCACGGGAAACACGGCCACAAGCCCATCAGCCAGGCCCGCCAGCACCAGAAAGGAGTTCTGTGGGAAGGAGATAGGGACGCATGAAAGAAACTTTAGTGTAGGAGAAACAGAGGGGCATCGGGTTCATCTCTGTCCATGCTCCAGATAGACAGGCAGTGCCCATCAATGTCCCTAACAGCAAAGCTCTCAGAAAGACTGGGTCTGCCAGCAGCAGCCATGGCCCAGCACCAAGAGGTGGCAGAGGACATGTGCCATGTGCCATGGAGGAGTGGTGCCCACAGCACCAACCAGGTCACCAGGACTGCAATGGCACCTCTGCAGGGCTGACTTTGGGCAGCGGGGAGCAGGGGGTACTGCTTTTCCTCCAGGCCACCACGGCCTCCTTCAGAGGCATGACATGGTGCCGTCTCTCACGTGGACACTGCTGCTAATGTGACAGCACTTGTGGGCACCTGAGGGTCTGCTCACTGCCACCCTAGGAGGCATGCATACCCACCACTGTCCCCCGGTACTGGCTGGGCACAGGGAACGGCTAAGTCTCATTCATCTCCTTGACCTCTGGGACTCCACTTGTTTTTCCGCTTCCAGAGGCCAATGCATTGTTGGCTGAACTAATTTTGAAAGAAATCACTTCCAACTCATCTCTCTCCTGGAGGCATATCTCCTCTGATGTACGCTCATCCTCAGCTCCTGAACCTCCTGTGAGATACCCACGGTACAGCTGACACTGATGGGGTCCTCAGGGCGCCCCCTAGGTCTGCAATAAAGCATAACTTCCTTGGCAGTCACTGGCTAGAGGCCATTGGGCAGAGGACAGAGTTGCAGGGACTAAATGCTGGGCCCCCAGGGGTCCCCAGGGCATCTCCCAGGGCAGAGTGGGAACAGGCCACAGCGGGAGCCAGAGCAGCTCTGCAGAGCCGGAGTTAGGACAGTGCAGGGGCCAGGCCTGGTGCCAGCGAGGGTGAGCTGCAGAAAGCTGGCTTGTTGGCAGTCAGCGAAGTCAGGAGGTTGGGCCGCCCCAGGTAACAGAGTGACAGCCTGTGGCTCAACGTCAGGGCAATAAGCTCTAAGAAAGTTTATCAAAATCCATGTTTGAGATTTTAGAGAAAGCAGCCAAGGCAAACAGGCTCAAAGTCTCTGTCTGGAGTCCCAGTGCGGTCTGGCCAGTGTGGTGAACGCCACGTCCAGGCTGGGTGTGAACATGTGCGTGCAAGAATGCAGGGGTCTGCCCTGCACAGCCACGGGCAGCTAGGCCTCTGAGGGAGCAGGCACCCCTCACAGGAGGCTCTGCACAGAGCAGGCTTTATTCCCCCCAGTCGTGCGGGAGCTGGCGCCCTGGCTCAGGGCTCTGGCCGGCGATGGCCTTCAATGATGCTTTGTGTCCTGCCCTCCTGTGCTCTAGTGCAGGCTGGGTCCCGAGCTCCCATCCCTATCCCCATCCATGGGGCCACGGCCATAAATGAAGCTAAGGTTCATTTCATACTCGTGCTCCTTTTTAAAGGAATGGAACTGAAACAGGGTGAAGAGAAGAGCTCGTATATTTCACGACGTCAGGAAGTCATATTAATACTCTCAATTTCCAAGTGCGCTGGCCCAGAGCTCTGGGCATCTCCTGAGCCCTGATGATCCCCACAGTACTGGAGTGGTTTGATGACAGTCCACATATTTTAAGCAGCAGCACCAGGAACTGCTCCATGCACGCTGACTGAGCGCACCGGTGGTTTAAACAGGCCTTGAAGGGTGGGCCACACGAGAATTGCCTGAGCAGTATTAGGACCCCGGGAGGACAGTGGAGCCTGAGAAAGCCAGGCAGCTGCGCCCTCTGCAGAGGGCGGGCCATGGCCATGACTCAGAACTAAACAGGCAGGAGTAGAGAAGAGGTGTGGGTGGGGGGCTGTCCTTGGCTAAAGGGAGAGGCCTGGGCACGGGGTGCAGGGGCCAGCAGGGGGACACCTCATCCACTCTGCCAAGGCTGGGTCTGATTCCAAGGCATTGGGCTGTGGCCAGCCTTGGGGGACTAAAAAGGTAAGTCAGCCTGACCATGCTGGGCAAAGACTGGGGGTCTGGGATGGACAGTGAGCCCTGGGGAGGAGGCAGAGGCAGAGGGCAAGAGAGCAAGATGCCCACGGATCAGAGGCAGGGCCTACCGGGGCCTGGTGACTAAGGCTGTGGGAGGAGCTCGCTTGGGCAGGTAGGAAAGAGCCTCCTGATGTCACTGCTACCAGAAGCCAGGTCCAGACCACAACTGTTCACACCCGCCCTTTGCACCACCATGCGTCTCGCCTGAGCCGGGCTGTGGTCTCAGCTTGTGGACAGTAGGTGTCCATTCTAATGAAGGCCACCTGTATCTCTAAGGCAGCCTATGACCAGCTGGTGACCCAAGAGGGTGTGTCTCTCCTGCTTCCCAGCCAGGCACACCTAGGGGATTCCCCCAGACACGACAGGAGGGAGTCAGAGACGCACAACCCACTTCCCTCACCTCACCTTTTTAATAACAGGCACTGCCAAGAAGCAGGTGACGATAGCCGGAGTGTCCAAGGCCTGCTGGGGTGCATTCAAGGGGCACATGCCCTTGAGGCTGTAGATGTAGATCTTCTGGTCCTGCAGAGGCAGACAGGCCTACAGTGAGACCCAGGGTAGGAGGTGCGTGGCATTTCCCACTGCTCTGCACCCAGCCTGGGGGATCCTCCTTGCGCCTTAAGTGAAGCCAGTGGAGGCTTTCTGGTCAGTTGTTAACATAGTTCTGTTCTTTGTAGAAAATTTTAAAAAACACAGAATATCTAGAGAAGAAAAATTAAATTGCTCATATTCTATTACCCAGACATAACCACTCCTGGGATTTGGGAGCACTGCCTCTCAGAAGTCCTATGTAAATGTGTGTGTGTGTGTGTGTGTGTGTGTGTGTGTGTGTGTGTGTGTGTGTAAAGCACAGGGTATCGCAAAGGTGCAATTTTAATAGAAGGCCGTCTTCTCACTTTTGGGCTATTGTTAATCCAGGGCCTCACACATGCCTGCTGGGCAAGTGCCCGACCTCCGAGCTCTGAACTAAGGGCTCTGCCTTTTCACATTTCTTCCCACTTAACTAAATGGGGGATGGCGCAGGGCACCGCTGCACTCCGCTCAGAGGGACAATTTGGATGACCTATTGACAGCGGCTCAGTTTGTCTCCAAGTTTTCACTACTGTGAGTTATACTGAGATTAGTCTCAGTATTCTCTCTCTCTCCACCTCCATCCTGTGTTAGTGTGTCTGAGCTATTTTCTTGGACTAAATTCTTCAAATTGAAATTAGCAAGGTTTACATAGCATGAGTATTTCTGATATTTCTGGCACATATTTGAACCACACTTCCAAATGTCACGTCTTTCCAGACGGCACCAACCTCTCCCCTGTCCATAGCTTCAGAATGTCTGATTGTGGATGTTTTCCTCTGAATTTCTCAGGAGACCCGTCCTGGGGCTTTCCAGGGACTTCCCCGATCTGATGTGAAGGCAAAGGCCTCCACAGCAGACAGAACGTGCTTGTGGACACAGCCCTGTCACAGGAAGCCCAGGCACATCAAACCCAGGTTCTTCCCTGGCAGAGTCTATGCCTGATACTCGTCGTCCTGAACCTCAGCGAGCAGTGGCAGCAGGCAGGAGCCAGCGGCAGGCAGGGCTGAGCTCCCTGGCGGACATGCTGCTGTCTCGCAGGGTGGTTGGCACTGCTCTGCGGGTTGCCCAGGGACGAGCTGGGGGTTACCAGGAAGTTAAGTTGACCTGGTCCCTCTGGGGGCTGCATAGTGGTGGCGCCTGCCTCACGGAGGGCTGTGCACGCGGCTTACCTCGGTGGCCGTCCACAGCGAGCTCTGGACCTTGATCTGGCAGCTCAGCTTCATGCCGGCACAGGTCATCTTCTGCACTTCCAGAAGCCCCTTCTCTGTGTTCACCACCGTGTAATTCCTATGGTCGGCAATAAGCACGCGGTCAGTTCCTGGTGGCGTCTTGGCTGCCATGACAGCCTCAGAAGAGGACCTGTGGGCCTCACTTGCCCCTGGAAACCAAGGTCTCATTTTGCTGTGATCTGAGAGCCTCCAGAAGGGTCCTCCATGGCCCCAGGCCTACTGTGGAATGGTTGGGCATCACAGGCATGGATAACCCCAAAGTGAAGAAAGCCTCTTTTCTCTCTGTGGCCTCTGGGGTTGGAACAGTTGTCCCCAGCTTGAGGGAGGGGCACTTCCACAAAGACCACTCCCTGCCCTCCCACCAGCCAGATCCTGCCCACTCCATGACTGGGGGAAGCTCCTCCAGGCCAAGTTGATAAGGCCAAGGCTAAAGACAAGATAGGAGGGTAGAACAGGGCCCATCCTGACGTTAGTGGGACCAGCTTGGCCCTGAGTCCCTCTGATACACCTCAGAAGTCTCAGAGAGCCTCCCTGCTTCTTGTGTGTCAAATGTTTCAGGCCCTGGTCCCGCCCAGACCTGGAATCCGCCATGCGTCTCACGAGCCCTGGTGTCACTGGGTCGCAGAGTGCTCATGGAATCCCCCTGCTTCTTGTTCCTGGGCCTCTTCAAATATATCACGAGGCCATCCAATTTCAATTCAGAGCTGTGCTTACTTTTTACATGCTCTACCTTACATCTATTTCCCCTTTAACCCATGCTGAAAAATCACAGTTTCCAATGACAGCCACATAATTATTAACTTTCCCCACAACCACAAATACTATCTTAGAATAGCAGTCATAAAACTAAATGGGTTTAGCATGCAGTCCTCCCTCAGTATTGGCAAGAAATCCTTGAACACCAAAAGCTACAGATACTAAGGTTTCTTACATACAATGGGCAGGCTTTGCTTAGATCCTGCGCTCATCCTTCTGTGTTCTTTAAACCAGCTCTAGGTGACTTACAATACCTAACGCAATGCAAATGCTATGTAAATAGTTGTACCGTTCAGGGTACACCGCAGTACCAGAAAGTCTATGTATGTTCCGTAAAGATGCCATTTTACTGAATATTTTCAGTCAGCAGGTGGGTGAATCTCTGCATGCAGACTGTGTGGGTGCAGAGGCCAGCTGTATAGGTTTGCTTTTGGTTTGATCTTTAAAATGTATCCCGCCAGGAAGGGACAGTCACTTGCTGTGTTTTAGTGACTTCTAGTGCACCACTTCTTAGAGGGAGCCTGTTTCATCACCCGCCGTCCTAGAGGCAGAAAATCTGATGCCAACCTCCCCTGAAATGACCGAAGGGAAACTCAAAGTCCGCTCCACTGACCTCATTCCTACTCAAGCTCAGCTTTATCTAAGCCTTGCCCGGTTCTAGCACCTTCCAGCGTTTACCTCTGGGCTCATGGGAAGATGCCTCTTGCCTTGAGGATGTCTTACCAGGTATCTGGAAGAGGCAGCACACATGGCCATGATGGGAGGTTCTCTACACAGCGGTGATTTCCTGGTGATTTCAGTCTATGACACTCTTTCCCATACCCTGGTTTCGGCGTCTTGGGACCTTCTCTTTGTTCCTCAAAGGACTCCTCCCGAGTCCATCCCTTCACCCGCACCTGGATCCCGCCTTTGCTTCTAACTGCACCCTTCCTACCCACACCATGCCAAGCATCCTGCCCCACCGTGACTACTCACTCGGCCCCGCGCTGTGCCTCCCCAAGGATCCTTCTGACACCACAAGACCAGGACCCTTCCCTCTCCTCCCCATTTCATGACCTTGCTTCGGCTTCACGGTCCTTTTCTCTAACCCACTCCCCTGTCTGCCGGCCCTCTGAGCAAATCCACGACTGTCTGAGATCACTTGATCACCCGTCTGCAGGCTAGGGCAGCAGGATGTTCCGGAGAACAGTTACGGAGCCGGCCTGGTGGCTCTCAGGGCCTCAGGGCCCTGCAGGGCCCCTGGATTTCCTTAGGCTACATGCCCACCGGTACCTTCTCTTTTCTTGGATTATTGCAAACCTCTTCCTGCCGCTTTCCTGAGAAAGAGCGGCCCCTGGAAGGGAATGTCCATGACCTCTTATTTCAAAGGGACCCTCGGGCTGGCTCCGGCCCCCTCCCTCTCTCACAGTCCATCAGCTTCACCAGGGTCAGTGCCCACTGTCCCCCTTGTCACTTAATATCCTGCATAATCAGGCTGCAAACAGCTTCTTCTCAAAGCACGACTCTCTGGACTTGTGCTCTCAACACACCTGGCAGAGACCATTGTTTCTTGGCTTCTCTTCACCACAAAAATGTACGTGCTAAGTTTCTCTCCTCCTGCTATCTTGAATGGACTCTAAGAAGGCCCTGGGCCGCTGAATAATAATCACCATGGACATTATTGATTTTTCTGTTCTCAAATTCCACCCTGAATATAAGCAGGGCAGGGTGGATGGCAGGAAGTTACCTGGATTCCTCTTTCCCGTCCCAAAACACCACAGTGTACTCTTGGCCCTGGGAGGAGAAGAAGGCCGTCTGCTTCCCGCAGGGCAGCATATACATGAAGGTGGCAAAGGTCGGGTCCTTCATCTGGCTCACCACGGACAGGGCCAGTGGGCGCTGCAGAGAGAGGCCACGGGCATGAGCATGTCTGCGTCTGTAACCCCCCGTGACATCAGCTGTCTCAACCTGGGAGGGTGGTGAAGGGAATCTGTTCATTCAGGACCAAACCCTAACTGTCCAGAGGGCGAAAGGGACTTGGGACCCCACACACAAATCATCTAGGCAACTGGCTCATCGGCAGCCACAGCAACTTGTGCTCAGCTGGTCAGGTTCCTCTTAATCCCAAGTATTTCACACCATTCCCCCAGTGCATTAAACTAGCTCTCCCTGATTTGATAAATGAGTTTCAACCCTGAAACTAGGGCCCTCTCCAAATCAGACAATAAACTAGCTTTAACCTCTTTTTCATGGGCAAACCTTTTCCCCACTACCTTACGAAGAGATATTTACATTCCCTCTGCTTGGGCGGAGGGAATTATACGGGATTGTACTGCTACAATACACAGTGAGTGGCCCACAAAAGTTCTGAATTTCAGGGCATTTTGGATATTCCATTAGAGACAATCAAGGAGTAAAGTCTATGCAAATATTCCAAAATCTGAAATATTTCAGGTCTCAAGCATTGCAGGTAAGAGATATTCAGCCTTTACATTTTTTGCATGATGAGATGACATAAAAGTTGGGGAGGAAAAGAAAGTTTGTTTTTCCCGTGAGTGGCACATACAGAACACGAAACTAGGTAGGTCGGCAGAAATTGTCTCTCTCTACAAAAAGCGAATAGAGAAGGCTGCACCACTGTTCTTGGTAAGGATGCTGGCCACCCACACAGCCTTCCCCACCCACAGGAGCTGGACGCCCCAGCCCCAGACTCTGTGACCCCAAGTACCTTCTCCGGCTTCGTGTCCCAGCACTCCATCATGAGCGCCTGGAGTCGATGGAACTGCACCTCCTCTGGCTGCCCCAGGACAGGGCGGATGCCTTTGGACAGCTTTTTGGCAATCTGAAGCTGGTGGTGGCCCAGTGCAGGACGCTGTCCTGACAGCAACTCATAGAGCACCATTCCATAGGAGAACATATCTACCTGGGCAGAAAGGCAAGCCAGGTCAGGTCCCCTGCCTAGGCCCAGCAGCTTTCTTTGCAAGCTGGTCCTGAGGCAGAGGGAGAAGAGAGACGCAATTAGACAAAGAAAACATGGGCTCTGCCCAAAGGGAGACCAGCATCAATCCATTCACCAGTTTATCTATTTTGATCTGTCCAACAAGCCAACCAACCACCTTGGTTACTTATCTTTCTATCCATCTAGTTATTAATTCCCCCATCTGGCCATCCATCTGTCCTTTTGACCACATGATCTTCTATTTATCCATCCATCCATCCATCCATCCATCCATCCATCCATCCATCCATCCTTCCATCCTTCCATCCATCCATCCATCTATCCATCCTTCCATCCATCCATCCTTCCATCCATCCATCCTTCCATCCATCTATCCATCCTTCCATCCTTCCATCCATCCATCCTTCCATCTTTCCATCCATCCATCCATCCATCCATCCATCCATCCATCCATCCATCCTTCCATCCATGCATCCTTCCATCCATCCATCCATCCTTCCATCCATCCATCCATCCATCCATCCATCCATCCATCCTCCCATCCTTCCATCCTTCCATCCTTCCATCCTTCCATCCTTCCATCCTTCCACCTATCCATCCAATAAACACACAATAAAAGCTTGCTAACCATGAGGCATCTCCAAGGATGCCAAAGCCCTTGGTTTAACAGGCTTGGCACTAGATGGGCTATGTACACAACTCATAAAAAAGATGGAGTCTCCTACATCTCGCTTGTTTTCTTCTCTCATCTTAACTGTCATAAAAAAGACTCAGCAAAGAAAGAGGTATGCAGGCTCCTGTAAGGATCAAGAAATAGCTCTTTAGCACAAAAATGGCTGAGACAGACTTGAAAAATACTAATGTGAATACTTTTATTACAATCTTAGTTTCTAGGTGAACACCGTGTCTGAGTCACCTGCTACTGAGAAGCTCTTATTTCTGTTGCTGTACTGTACCTATTCTATGTTGGGCAAGAGCCAAAGCTGCCAAGATAACCTACAGGTGCTTAGGTCATTCTCAAAGCAATCAGTCAGTGACACATCCGAAAATCACCCAGGAACAAGAAATTACTGTGAGGGACATTTCGATCCTGGGTGAGTAACAAGCTTGGCAGCAGATGCAATATGTGCAATCTGAGATGATTCTGAGGTGTCTGTGTGTCTGTGTTGCTCAACCTGCTAATAGGGAAGAAGATAAGCATTCAGCCACTGTCTGAACTGAGGCTGGCTGCGCAGTTGCTGTGGAGGCCTTATGCAGACAGGTCTGTCCTGCCAGAATGTACTCTCTTCTGCCTTGGCATGTGACTTGGCTAGTACCTTGTGGTGTCCTGACCTATGGGCCAGGCTCCTTTACCATGGTTGTTCTGTCGGCTTCTCAAAAGCCTTTCTGGCCTGAGCCAGAACCTCCTGTAATGAGCACAGGAGTCAGAGACAAGTGTGCTTGGGGGATCTCAGCTCAAAAGTGCCAGGTGCTCCAGGACTGCCTGGCTGGTTTCAGATGGGACCTCGGCTCTAGTCCTGAAGGGCCGGCCCAGGGGAAGGCAGTAGACTGGGCTGGTACCTTCTCATCATACACGATGCGAGGCCTGATCTCTGGGGCCTGGTAGCCTGGCGTGCCCTCCACACCCAGGGCGCCCTCGTGAAAGGACTGTCGTGAGATCCCGTAGTCTGACAGCTTGATGTTGATGTGCTCCTTGACATCCAGGGACCACACCAGAATGTTGTCCGACTTCAGGTCACAGAAGATGATGTTCTTCTTATGCAGGTAGGCCAGGCCTGAGGCAATCTGGTAGGCTATTTTTTGGGTTAGCATGTGTCCCAGAGGCATGAAGGAAGAATCTCGCAAAGAAAAAAAATAACAATTTCAATTTTTGATAGAATCAAATTACACAAGAGCAACTGTTTTCCATCTTTTCCTTCTATCTCTCTGCTATAGTTTGTCTTTCTTTTTTTTTTTTTTCTTCTGGTACCAGGAATTGAACTCGCGACCTTGCACTTGCCAGGCAGGCACTGTGCCACTGAGCTAAATCCTCAGCCCTTATAGTTTGTTTTCCAAAGCCCCATGTGTTAAGGCTTGGTCACCAGCCTATGGTTTTATTGGGAAGTGGGGGAACCTTTAGGAGGTAGAGGTTTAGTGTGAGGAAATCAGGTCATTGGGAGTGTGGCCTTGAAGGGGATATTGGAACCTAGTCTCTCTTTTTCTTTTGCTTCTTGGCAAGTGAGCTGCCTTCTCTGCCACATACTCCAGCCATGATGTACTGTACTACCGTAGGCCCAAAACAACCAGCCCAAGCACCATGGACTGAAACCTCTGAAACTATCAGCCGCAATAAACCTTTACTCCTTCTATGTTGTTTAGCTCAAGTATTTTGTCACAGTGATAGAAAGCTGACAAACGTATCCCCACGTGTTTTGTGTTCCATGGACATATCATCAGGATTCTCCATGCTAGATGCTAGAGGGACAGAGAATGACCTTAAGTGAAATGGGATTGAAGATAGAAATGCTAGTCATCAGGGCTTCTTTCACAGCATCTCAGGCCTGGAATTGCTGGCTTTTTTACTAAACAAGCAAAGATCCAAACCCGAGAGTTCATCTCAGGCCATCACTGTACTGCTGGCAAGAGGTGAGCTACAGATCTAGGATGTCACTAAAATATTTGTTTCTCAGGGTGAAGTGATCAATTTATACAGCATCTCTTCCTCAGTCGAAAGACAGCTGCCACCCTTATGTTGGCAGCAGTTTGGAGTTTAGTTACCTATTTCTCAAGTAAGCTCTCTTTAAATTTCTTTAAAGAGTGAGATATGATATAACCGACACCAGGTTTCAGCCTTAACCATAGTGGCAAAGAGAAAGGTGCATTATGGTAGGAAGAGGGATTTATTTACACACCTGGTGGGACTGAGGTGCCAGCTGTAGTTGCCTGGGCCTACCGAAGACTCCCTTATTTGAGGCCTGATGCCCTCCCAGTGGGGACTATTATTATCCTTCTTTCACAGGCAAGTGAATTGGGATTGTTAATTGTGATACATCAACTTGATTGAATAAAGAAATGCCTAGTAGATTAGCAAAGCACACTTCTGAGTAGGGCACAGAGGCACAGCCTTGGGTATTGTACTTGGTCTTTGGCTCCTTCTTCTCTAGTGCTGTTCCCCTGCTCTGATTTCTGGTCACACATATTAAGCAGCTTGGTTCTGCCATGCCCTTCTTCCATGATGTTTCTGCCATGGGGCCAGCAGACCACGGACTGAATGCCCTGAACTAGTGAACCAAATTAAGCCTCTTCTTTTTTAAGTTGTAGGTGCCAGTGTTGTATCCCAGTGTCAGGAAAGCTGACTGACGCACACATGAAGCAGTCTCATGGACTACGGCAGGGAACCAGGAGGTGGAACCTGGTTCTACTATCTCCAAAGTATGAACCCCTCAGGCTCGGCCAATGTTACCATCACTGCTGATACCAGATAAGATGCCTAGTCTGGGATATGGCATGCTTTGGGCTTAATAAGGCACCCCTAGTTCTACTTTGGTGTCACATTCTGTGGGTCAGGCAGGAGGGAGTCCTGGGCCCCTGGCCTTCTGGAGGCTGCCCACCCAGCTCACGCTTGTGGTGGTCCCTAGCGGCACAGCCCAGGCAGCCCCCAGTGGGATGTTCTCTCAGGGAGGGTGGGTACCTTTTGCATTCTCAGACAGCACGGTGTTGAGGCTGCTGAGTGGGGCGAGCTCCAGGGCAAAACAGAGTGGGTGGATGCTGATGCCAACAAGTGCCACTATGCATGGGTGGTGCAGGGCATGCAGCATGCTGGCCTCCTGCCGGAACTCCGAGAAGTTCTTCATTGCGTCCGTGGCCCGCAGGTGCCTCAGCATGGTGTCTGCAGGGGTGAGATGGGAGCACAGCCATCAGCCACCCAGGGAGGCCGGTGGTACAGGGCATGAGCTGCCCCACTGGACCTGGGGCTAGCGAGACCCAGCCTAAACTCATGAGAGAGCCACCCAGCGGCACATGATGCAGGGGCCTGCAGCACCGAGAGCCACCTCACATGACCTGGTCTGAATATGTCCCCCAAAGTTCATGTCCTTCATCCCCAGTGAAGGACGTGTGGGGAGGAGGCATCTAATAAGAGATGATTAAGTCAGAGGGCGCTCTCCTCTAGTGGACTGATGGGGCTGTGTCGAGAGCGGATTAGTTATCTCAGGAGTGGGCTTGTTACAAATGCAGGTCAGCTGCTGGTTGGTCTCTGGCCATCATACTCTCTTCCTTTTCCATCTTCCACCTCGGGATGGTGCAGTGTGATGCCCCTTACCAGATGCCAGCCCATTTCCTCGGGCTTCCCAATCTTCAGAACCATAGGCCAAATACATTTTCGTTGCTTACAAGCTACCCAGCATGCAGTGCTCTGTTAAAGCAGCAGAAAGAGCCTGAAACAGGAGGAGCTGGGTCCCTCTCGGTGGAGAGCACCCTTGAAGTACATAGTGGGGCCGAGTGTGCCGCCTCTGGTGGGGGAAAGCGGGAGTGCCTTTCTTTCTAGGGGTGGGAGGTTGGGGAGAAGTGTCCCAATTCATCTGTCTGGAGCACCCAGCTCACTCCGGCACAGGAGACAGCTCCCAGGGGTCTCCTAAGGAAGGACCCTCTTAGGCCAGACTGCCTGCCCACCAGGCATGAACTGGCACAGGGCAGATAGAAACAGCAGGGATGGGAATCTCCAAGAGTGACTTCCAGACCCTGCTTGTTCCCAGCCTGCCTGAGCCCACGCTGGTCTTGCCCACCTTCTTCACGGCCTGCCTTGTTTGTGTGTGAGCTCAGGCCTCCCTAAGGTGGCACAGAGCTCGAATGGAGGAAACACACATCTGCAAAAACACAGAGCTGGGCCAGGGCCATGTTACCTGCTGGCGCATTAGCGAAATTCTTGAATTTCTTGATGTGGAATCGCTTCACAGCCACAGGCTGGCCCTGGTATTGGGCACGGTAGATGACGGTGCCGCTGCCGCCTTGGCCCAGGACGCTGCTCTCATCCTCGCTGTGCTCCAGCTTGCTGTTCTCCAGGAAAAGCCTGTGTGCACACAGCTCAGGGGTCAGCACGGTGAGCTAACCTTGGGCGGGCCGGGGTGGGTGCGAGGCTGGGACGTTCGTTCCCACGATGGGCAGACACAGTTCAAAGCCATCTGTGAGGCTAGACTGATCTGGGCTAACCCTACCACCTGCCAGCGGCAAACCTGGGCAGCTTAGGCAGCCTTGCCAGGCCTTGGTGACTGGCCTGGAAAAGTGGGCTCACAACAGGAGCTGCCCAAGAGGTGCCAGTGCTGCCTGGCTCAGGCTGAGGCCTCTGAACATGGTGGGGAACAACAAGGGTCTTCTTGGGTGTTTTATTCCGAAAGATTTTGTGCTCTGAGCGCTGCCTCCCTCAGCCACACTGCACTGACTCACTCTGGGTTAGTTGTTTCTCTACTTTGTGCTGTGCAAAGGCTATTAATATACCCTGCCATGCAGAACTTCTGATCCGCCTGACCCGGGCCCCACCACCCGGGAGTTTCAGCTACCTGGTCTATGTGTTCTAATCCCGGGAAGAGACAGTTTCTGTTGGCTCTTTGGAAATGTGTCCAGTTGCTCTTGGACCCCCTGGCCTTCTCTGTGGGTCTGCAGGCTCTTGACTAAGGCCAGGTCTGCATGGGCAGAGGCCTCAAGCCTTCTGGGCATCCCAGATAGAGCCAAGGCAGAAGGTTCAGGATGGCAGGCCTTCCTTGGGCTCAGACTCTTTGGGCTGTGGGGGCTGGCATGCAAGACTTGGGCCTTTGTGGGCACGCTGCACTCCCTGACCGTCTCCAGGCTCTCACCAGGATGCCCTGCCTCTGCCTTCTTTTTCTTTAGAAACAGTGGGGTGGAAAGAAAGCATGATGAAAACAAGGGGGAATGGGTGGGCGGGAGGGAGGGAGTGAGGGGACAAGTCCACCTGCTCTGCTGAGGTCCACCCGAGCTCCTCATACTGACCCTGCCAGGTGCCTCGCCACCCAGGCAAGGTGGAGCCCACAGGCCACCCGGCCCTGCAGGTGCAGTTGTTTCCTGTGCCTTCAGGAGCAGGCTGTGCAGATACTTGCACTCAACCGCAACACCTTGCACCCACTGCAGCCCTTAGGGGCCCGGCAGAAAACAGTCTGGGGCTGTTCTCCTGGTGCCCTCCAAAACCACCTGCTTAGAAAGAGTAGGTGCTTGGGAGCTCTGCAGGATGGGTACGGAAACCCAGGCTGGGGATCTCTGTTAGATTTATGCAGACTCGGAAGTCTGTAGGCGCCACGGGGCAAAGCCTGCCAAACTCCGAGATAGCTGGGCCCCGGCTGAAGTCCACAGCACCTCTGCTGGACTGGGAGTGCTGTGCAGAATATCACACTTTTCAACTTCCTGCCAAGAAACTTGATTTCAGGCAGCAGCCTGAGATTAGATCCCAGTCACCAGGGACGGTCCAATCTGGCTTCTCAAATTGCAGATAGTAAATTCCACATTCAGTTGGGGTCTCTACACTGAGTCATAAACATAACAAGATTCAGCAAATAAATTAAAACTCTTAAACTTTGGGGGACCCTCAAAGAGCATCTCCTTAAATAAACTGGACTTGTGTTTATACAAAACTGCATGTGGTCTCTGAGAACCAAACCCTCATGTCAAGCTCTGCGAATGAAGAGTCATTCTGCGAAGAGTGGAGGTCATCGTGCCCACCAGGAGGTTACTGGGGATACTGAAAACAGCCAGGGGAGGAGTTATGCAGCACAGGAGGCATTTCCTTTCTTTATTTGTCACATTTGGTGCTGGTGATGGAACCCCAGGCTGAGTACATGCTCCACCACTGAGCTCCCAGTCCACACCCTTTGTAATTTAATAGACTCACCCAAAAGCATTCTTTGGAACCCCAGTTCTCTGAACTTACAGTGCACTCCACATCTACTTGGAGCGATGTGGAAATATGAGAATACAAATGTTCTTATCAAAAAAGTTCAACTGTCTTTAAATAAAATTTATAGGCATGATAGCATGCCTTTTTTTTCCCCCTCTGCATGGTACTAGGAGTTGAGCTCAGGGCATTTGCACTAAGCTATATCTCTGGCCCTTTCTTATGTTGTATTTCAAGTCAGGGTCTTGCTAAATCAGTAAGTTGCCGAGGCTGGGTTTGTAATCCTCCTGTTTCAGCCTCCCAGAGTGCCAGGATTACAAGCATGTGCCCCTATGCCTGGTTTAAAGCATGCCTCTGAGTAAGAAAGCAACAGGATTTTAGAATTCCAGAAATGTTGAGAACCATGGATGTCAAGCTGTCTCTGGGGACACCAAATCATAGCTTTGGGTTCCCATTGACCAAAGATGATGCCATCTTTTACTGATGACTTGGCCACTTCCTGTTGGGTTGGGACCACAAAGTGTTTTCCAGAATTCTCTTCCCAGTTATCATCAACACGAGTAGAGGCAGAATCATCTCTAAGAACAGAGTTAGAGGATCCAAATGCCCAGCCTTAGGGTGGGAGATGGCAGTCAGGAGAAAAGCACAGTGAAGCTGTAGGTTTGGGAGTGCTCACTTTCTCTAAGGCCAGGGAGCATGGTTATGGGTACTTTCTGCTCCTCCAGCCTTCAGTGGGGTAGGAGTCAGGGGAGAGGAGCACTGTTTTGGGAGGGGAAGAAAATAAAGGGGCTTCACCTGCAAAGTGCCCAGAGACACCTGCTGAGGCTTCCAAGATGGTAAGCTAATGGCTCTGGGAAGCCTAGGATAGAGCCTAAGTTCCTGAGATTTGACGAGAAGCAATGACTGGAGTGGCTGTTGTCACCCTAAGATGAGGCCATCATGCAGTGACCCAAGGAGGAGGGTCTGCCCTAGGACCTACTGGGACCTCATAGCAAAGAGCACAGTCCTGGGACCTGCCCTGTTCCCGAGAGGGGGCCATGGCAGCATACCTGGCAGGGAAGTCGGTCATGAACAGCTCAGGCACCAGCTCCTGGAGCGGCACCGGGAGGTCTGGATGTCTGGGGCAGGAGATAAAGTCACGCTCGATGGCTGTCAGCACACAGTCCTCCATGTCGAAGTACTGCACGCCCTCCGATTTCTCACTGGGGTCAGCATGCTGAACCCATGACGTCTCGCAGACAGGGCAGGGCACGTACTGCTCCATGAGTGGGGTCCCGTCACTTTCGGTGGCCGTCAGGGCTAAAAGGGGACAGAGCAAGAGCCAGCTCATGCAGAGTGGTTGAGTGGCACCCTGTGGAATGGCTTTCATAGCAGGGCTCCGTCTGCCCTTGCCTGGACCCCAGGGAGCGTCTAAAACTGAGTGTCACACACCAGTGCCTTTTTAAAGAGCACAATTGTTGCACTGAAAGATTCTCCACGGAGAGGGTGGGGATGCCTCTCAGAGCCGCCTGGTGCAAGAGGGGCGAGGAGAGGGCTGGGACCCCATCTGCATGGGGGCGGCTAGTTCCGAGCTACACTTCAACAACTAAGCCACAGCTACTGTACAAAGCACCATTCTACAAATCAGACACACAGGCTTGCAATTAACCACGGTGCTTGTCAGAAGAAGAATGCAGGGATAATGAGGACACATTACAGCAGACGAACGCTCATCACTGACACAGTATGTGCAACAGAAGACCACTTTTCTGTGTGCCTCACTGGGAAGAACCATAAACATCCTCTGAAGTGTCCTGTGGGGTTCCCTCGGGGTGGGGCACAATGACCTGCTTTGGGCATGTGGAGGTGGACACCTAGACTTCCAGGGTGTGTTTGGCTGCAGATATCCTGCTCAAAGGGGCTGCTGGCCATGGGCTGGAGGTGCTGGCTCCAGGACACTTGGTCTCTGGTGCTTTACCGAGTCTGTCCATCTCAGGTGTCTGTCAAATGGGGGGCTGGCACTGCCTGCTGGGAGCTGCAAAGTGCCTAGAGGGTTGATATGAGCCTCGGGGACTTCTGGATGCTCAAGTGCCCGAAACTACCGCAACTCACACAATGGACGGTCTTCTGAGAGCCGCTTCTAAGCCATCTTTCCTCGTGGGTCACCCTTCCTACCAGCACCTAAGGGCCCCCAAGCCCTAAAGGAACCCAGACCCTGCTGTCTTGTGCACTCAGAGAGCCTCCTGCCTCTTCCTCAAGCACTTTCCCTGATGCTGTCCTGGGGTGCAGGGGTCTTGGATAGGTGAGGAGGCTGCTCAGAAAAAGCTGGGGGCAGTGCCGGGACGCAAACTGCTCTCCACTGGCTCAATGTCCAGTTTTTGGAGGCTCACCCAGCTCCCGCTTCCTGCTCCCAACACACCCATCTCTGCAGCCGCTCTGGGGGTCTTCTGCCACAAGAGCAAAACAAACAGAGGGCCTCAAGGGCTTCACTTCAAAAAGTATTTTCTGGCGGGGACTGGCAACTGTCAGTAGATCCAAAGGGTCTGAGAAGGGCTGTGTGGGTGGTTTGAGCTGTGTTGGGATGGGCGAGGGAGGCAGGGAGAAGGCGCCCTAGCAGCTGGTCCTCCCCTCCCTTCTTGCTCTGCTCCAGGGGGGATCTCTGTGCACCAGCTCCCCCTAATATCAACCCCATTGCTGAAATGTGAACACATGACACGGCAACCTCACATGAGCAAGTCTTTGGCCATACATGAGACCCACAGTCATCTCTCTCCCCACACGCCACATGCACCAGGGGCCCTGTGGGGTCTGAGCCCATGTCTCCCCTCAGCTTTCCCTGGCTGAGCTGAGAGCTGGACTCTTTGGGGGCCAGGGCTCTTACCAAAGTGCTAAGACACCACCTGCTGGTTTGCTTAGGCTGAATCACGGTGGGATTTCTGTTCCCCCAAAGATGCAGCCCCACCTTGGCTTATAAAGAAATCTAAGCATGACCAGAGGGTTGGTTCCAGCATGTTCTCTTACCAGGAAACCACTGATCGATCAGAGAATTCACATGATCCGTGATAAATGCCATCGCGGAGAAGTCCCTCACTTCCGACTGGCAAATGATTTTAATCCCGCCACTCTTTTTCTTTTTCCAGTTCACGTCAGAAGATTCCACACTGTAACCCAGAAACAAAAAGGAACCCATTGTGATCCTGTTGGGCAGACCCTGGGGGGGCACCCTCTGTCTATGAATGGACCAAGAGGCTGGGGCACAGAGAGGCCGGGGTGCCTCAGAACTGCCGGGGGACTCCCCTTTTCATGCACCGGTGTTTGTGGGCCTGCTTTGTCTTTGTCCCCCTAACAAGAAGTTTGCAGTAAGGATGCTCAGGTGGGTCTGACCCTCAGGAGTGACCCCAGGAGCTCCTTTACTCTCTGCACGGTGTCCCCACTCATCAAGGGGAGATTTCACTTTCAGTGAGAACATCTCTGTGGAACCTTCAGGCACAAAGAATGGCTCAGACCAGACCCCCTGAGAAGTTACTTTCCCCGCTGCATTTCTCTCACAGAGCTACAGATTCCTTTGAAAAGTTCATTGTACATACTGAGTAATCTTGTGTGTTGATCATTCATTACATCCGTTCAGCTGAATTTATGCCTCTTTCTCTCTTTCTAAACAAAAGAGGAGAGCCCCTTGATAGGTCCCACGGTGTGGGATCAGGACTGAGGACTCAAGTTCTCCTCTTCCCCACTGGCCTGGCTCCTTCTCGCAGACCAGAGAAGACGCTGGACAGACAGCCCCAGCTCAGCGACTGGGAGGTGCCCAAGGCTCCCGCTGCCCCTACACCTGCCCTGGCCTCTCCTGTCCTACAAAGGGTGTGAGCTGGGGACATGCACAGGGAGGGGCTTGCATTTCTAGCAAGCAGCCACCATGAGCTCCTCCCAGGAGCAGAGTTCTGGCCTGAGGTAGGTGAGGTGCCTTGTGGGGCTGTCACAGGGTCCTTGCCTACCCAGGCTGTGGGCTTCCGGATGTTCCCACCTGAGGTAGCCCCCGTCGAAAGTGACCAGCAGCCCTTCCTGCCAATAGATGGTCTGATTTCTTTTCACTCTGAATGTGCTACAGCGGTTTCTCTGGTTTCCTGTAAAGCTGTAAATGGTGACTTTCCTGTTCCTGCTTTTAGTATTCTTCTTGTTTTCAAAAAGCTGAAAGACAGAGAGAAAAGACCCTGCTTGAGCATTCAGGCTCTGTGCTAGCCCTGCGCAGAGCTCTAAGCATGCTGGCCGGGCCCCATTTTGATAAATCACCCCAGGCTCCCACCGCCTCCTCCCACGCCTGCTGCATGAGCCCTGCTGCCAAACTAACGCTGCATGGTCTGGGGCGGGGCAGGGGGGTGGTCTCCAGGGTACCCTGGGAACCGATTTTTCCAAGCAATTGGAAATAGGCTCTCCTTAAAAAAACCTTTCACTTCCTGACTTCACAAGCTATGTGGGCAAGACGAAAACGTGAGAGAGAAAATAAAACACCGCTTAAACACCAAGCAGAGAGATCATTAAGATGCTGGTATCTATAATCCCAGGCTTTTTCTATCTACATATACGTTTAAAAAAGCAGTTGAGTCCATATCCTATTCCTAACTTTGCATACCTTTTGTGTGGAGGATGTAGCTCAGTGGTAGAGCTTGACTGCCATGTTCATAGCTCAATTCCAGCACCACTAGAAAAAGTACACTTTAAAAAACACTACTTTTCTTACGCAATTAAAAACTCACTTAAAATTCAGTTTTCTAAAGCTAAGAAGTATATTAATTTCCTGAACACCCCCCCTCTATTGCATATTTAGGTCAATTCCGATCTTTTGCTCTTTCAAATGTGCCGTAATGAATATGCAAAATGCAGAGATTTCTTTGGTTTCAAATGGTTTCCTTCGTTCAGATACTCAGCAGCGGGATTTAGAGTAAAGGGTCTGAATGTTTTAAGGCTCTGGATGCATACTGAGGATCTGGCTTTCAAAATGAGACCACCACTGTCCCTCTCTGGGGCAACGGACTGCAGTTTAGCTCTTTGCTAATTCCATAGGCGCCAAGTGGCATCTCTGCTGTGTGCATCTGGGTGCCTTTGATTACTGATGAGACTGAACGCCTTTCCCTGTCACCAGTCTGAATTTCAACAGGATTTTTTGGAAGGGATGCTGCTGAGAAGGACGGCTGCACCGTGCCTAGCCGGGCCTCACTTGTGAGCTCAGCCTCCCAAGATGCTGGTGTTTCCTGACCAACCCCCCAACTCGGCAGGACACAGAGTTCAAACAGAGGCCAGAGAGCTGGGTTAGCCCACCCAGCACCCACTCTTTCAATTGGTGCACACTCCCGGCCTCACAGACAAAGCTGCCTGTGAGCACAGGCTGTTAAGTTCTGATTGATTTTCAAGCTCTTGCATTTATTGTTCTTCCCATTTTAATAAGATGGAAAGATCAAAGAGCATCTTTATTGTGCCAAGAAGTTATAATTTAATAAGGGTGTTCTAATTAGAATGCCAAAAGTAAACTCATGCAGAAGTCAATTCCAAAGGATGCAAGATCAGGGTTTGCACCAAGGGTTCACAGACTGTAGAGCATGTCACAATCCCCTGGAGGGCTTGTCAAAAACAGACTGTAGGGCTCTACCCTGGAGTTTTGTACTGGGGCCTGAGAATCTGCATACCTCAAATGTTCTCATGCTGTTCTGCTGGCCTGGGAACCCCACTTTGAGAACTGCTGTCCTTGCTAAATATTACTTCCATGTATTTTCCTACATGTAATGAATATGGCCTAACACTAGGCCGCCGCTCCATAACCCACAAGACAACGTCTTGGGTCAGGTCTTCACTATTCCCAGTGGTTCTCAAGCCCCACTGCACAGCAGGACCACTGCCAGGCACGGTGGCCCACGCCTGTAATCTCGGCGCTCTAGAAGGCTGGGGTAGGAGGCTCAGCAAGGGTGAGTCCAGCCTTAGTAATTTAGTGAGGCCCTGTCTCAAAAAAAGTAAAAAAGCTTCAGTATGAAGACCCTGAGTTTCATCCTCAGTACCCACTAAAAAAAAAAAAAAAAAAAGCCAGGAAGCCACACCTGAGATTCTGGTTTCAATGGCCCAGGAAGTCTGTGTCAGGTGAGTGTGGCACAGCCAGGACAGCAAGATCACACTTGCAAGGTCATGGATGGGCCAGTGGTGAACGACTGAAAATGCCAACTCCTGGCCTCCGTCCTTTTAGTGACTCGGAACTGTGAGGGGTGGGCCCAGCAATGTGTATGTTGTTCTTATTAGAACGAGCCCTCCAGGTGATCTGGGGTGGGAAGTCCTCCAGAAGCACTGCTCTGCCTAGGCCAAGTGTGAGCTGATTCGGTATTCACAGGATGGTTCAAGGGATCTGAGCTGAGCTTGCCTCCTGCCCCAAATCACCAGCATAGCAGCAGGAGAAGGATGTTCAGTCGGGTCCCATTAACACAAACAGCATGTCCCTCCCTAAGGGTATGCATGCAGGGGCCTGGCAGCGTGCCTCCCTGTGCAGAGCCCCCAGCTACCTGCAGATCCATTTCGGCCAAGCTGATCAGCATCCGTGCTATGAACCTTTGCCAGAAGCCGACAGGCACGAAGCTCATCTTAAACACCCGCTGGATGGTGTTGGCGGTCGGGTGCCGCATGCCGTGAGTGTCCAGGCCAGGCTTGGATGGAAGGAGGTGTGGCAGGAGGTAGCTGAAACACATCAAGGAGACTGATGACTAGTGCGGCTCAGGCTCTGCAGACGGCTACCCTGGGGGTAGGACCATTGCCCCAGGGCTCAGGCTGCCCGGCACCTTCCTAACAGAGGCTTTGGGATCCTGGTTTCAAACAAGAGAGTGGTTGATATGCTGGGAATAAATGTTCTAAAGGAAAATAAAAACAGGCACCGTGAAGATATTTATCGAAGTTTCTAGCAGAGGGATTAGTATGATGTGAAGTGGAGACGTAAAGCCATCTGTGGTCCAAAAACGTCAGACACAGCAAAGTGGAGTCGATTCTGGGCAAACTCGGCTGTGGTTGGGGACTCACTTAACACTGACTCTTCTTGGTGAAACAAAAACAACTACAGCTGCACAGTGCTAAGGATAACGCAGACTTTGGGGTCAGGGCAACTTTTTTGGGGGTCTTGGGAGTTGTTTATTGTTTTTGGCCAGTTGAGATGCCTTACAAGTTAGAACGCAGCTGTTTTTGGCCAGTTGAAATGCCTTACAAGTTAGAACGCAGCTGTTTTGTGCAAAAGAGGGACATTTTACGAGAACACTTGTGGTCACCGTAAAAATGCTGCATCACATGTGACCGAGGCGTTAGCATCTGTTGTTCTTTCAGAACAGCTGAAGCCTGGGAGGTCCTTCCAAACATGGGCCTCCTCTATGTGCTGGGAAGCTGGGGGGAGGCCCAGGGTGAGCACAGGCACAGGCAGTCCTGGGCAGCCCTCTGGGTAGGCAGAGCTGGAACCTTAACAGAGGCCTTACCCTCAGCTCTCCTAACCCTCTTAAGATAAATCTATTTCAGTCCACTAAATGTCTTTAGAACTTTCTGGAAGAGACTCCCTAAAATCTTACACAGTTGGCCTTTCATATCTATGAGTTCTGTACCTGTGGATTCAAACAACTTGAAAGTATTTTAAAACACTTGATGTGTACTCAACTGTACAGATTTTTCCTTGTCGTTACTCCCTAATCAATGCTATCTTTCATGGCGTTTACACTGTATTAGGTGCTCTATAGCATCTAAAGGTGGTTTAGTGCATGGAGGATTGTGACGGTTCTCTGCAAATTGTCAGGCCTGCCCTGAGAGAGATCTTCATGCTGCCCTCTACAAGCAAAAGGGGTCCAGGCTGCCTCAGTAAACAAGAATTGATGGCCATAAAGAAATTTAGGACTGGACCTGCAGTCTTCCTGATGCCGGAAGACCCAGCTTTATACGCACACCTGTGCTGATCATCCTTGCAGCTTTGACCTCAAACAATCCATCCAGATTCTTTGGAACTATGACCCCCAACCCCAAACCCTATACACACATAGCCTCCCCTCCAGATAGTCACTGATATCACTCCGATTTCAGCCTGCCTGTAGGTAGATGGAATTAAATTTAGTCTTTACCACGGTCTCAATCTCTGGGTGTTTCCTCACACGCCGTTAACACAAATACGATGTCATTTTATATGAGAGACTTGAATGTCGGTGGATGTTGGTATCCTCATGGGGTCTTGGGACCAGTCCCTATTGCTACTGAGGGACAACTGTACAAGGAAAACCCCATGACAGCCTGGCAGCCCAATTATAGAGGTGTAAATGCCTTCCTCTGTGTCTTGAGCTCCCACGGGAAGGGAAGGGATCCCCACCTGGCGAGGCTAGAGAGGACGGACAGAGGCTGTGATGACCCAGTGCACACAGGCGGGCAGGCTGGAGGTCCCTTTCCGCTATTTCAGGTCTTGGGTAAAAGGACACTGCTCACCACCAGGCTGGATGGTTCCTTCTTCATCCCTGCCTCTCCATTCTAGCATCCCGTCTTATTTCCTCACATGCTGAAAATTCCTTGTTTATCCATCTGTTCAGCCTCCGTCTGTCAAACAGGAGGCTCTCACCAGTGCCTGCTGCTGTCTCCTACTTGGGCCACCCATGTAAATTGCGCACTCCAGCTGTGCTCGGCGGAAGTGGCTTCCTGCTCTTTGGTTTCCTTGTAGGTGTTGTGTGCCTGGCAAGGGGAAGGAACCCACACTGGTGCCCTGCTCACAGCACGGTGTGCACACAGAACAGCTGCTCAATGACATTTTTAAAGGCAGAGATGATTCAGAAGCTGGCCTAGAAAAGGAAGATTCCAAATCTGAGTGGCCACAGCAGCCAGATCGCAGAGGGAGCAGAGACCCTGGGGAGACACTACTTGTTGGAGAAATGCGCATTCAGGAGTTGTGAAAGGCTGTCCCAGGGGTGAGCAGACAGTGGCCAAGATCAGACTTCAGAGGCAAATTATTCATGTTTGATAAGCGAGGATCAACAACACCCAAGGCAGGCACCGTGTCCGGACTCAGGGCCTGGACAGGCTCCTGCTGCCCTGCTGAGATAAATCAAAGGTGTTTTTTTCTGTGCCCTGTCCAGGGTCTTCAAGAACTGTTGTCTAGAAGTGCAAACCCTCAAAGGTAAACGTACTTTCGGAGGGTCATCAATCCCCTGAACGTTTCCCAAACGACTAGAGGGCTGGCCGACTGCAGGAGGAGGACCCAGCTCCAAAGGTGCAGCCCACGTCTCTGCATTGATTCAGAGACTGTAGTGTGGACCTTACTAAAGCTTATGATGCAGGAAGCTGGAACTTGCGTAGGGCACAAGGCGCCGTCATGCCTGTGCTGAGGTGGATCGTGTTCCGCTCTTCCTGGCTTTGTGTAGAACCAGACACTCTGGCTGTGAGTACTTAATACGACGAAACAGTAACAACAGTACTGTAGACACTAGCGGCCTGGGGAGCGCTTAGATGTAAGAGACACAGTTCGAAGTACTTTATGCGTATTATCTAACTTAATCCTCACAACAGCTCTAATACTAGCTGGGAACAATGTTATGGCTATTTGTGGAGAAGGCAAAGGAAGCTGGGAGGACTGATAGCCGGGCAGTCTGGTTCTATGTTCTCACCCACTGTACAGTGAGGCTCCTCGAGCACTTGGCAGTGGGCTGGCTGTTTTTATCATCCAACAAAATACCCAGACAAAAAGAGAGATAGACGCAGACATATCAATATTCTGCCTTTCGGATATAGACAACTGGTTTGTTTTGCTAAATGCCAGTATCTCTTTCTTCCGCTAATCCACTGATAAAAGAACCAGCAAATTATCAGATCTTGGCTTTGTAAACTCACAGGCTCCCTAATCTTGAACTTTTTTGGGATCCAAGCCAAGGACAGCACCTCTGGGCATGGGATGAAGGGACAAGGGATGTTGAATTCCTCCCTGTGGATTCTGTTCTTAGGACATGGCCCTGTTCTGTTCCACTCACGGCCCCCACAAAATCAGGGGAGCAAGGTTGTGAGGTTCCCGCGCCCAGCCCCCTCAAAGCTAAGTGGGAAGGCAAATGGGGCCTCAGGAAAAGACCTCACACTGGCTCCCAGGAGGCTGAGTCTATGCCAGCAGAACCTCTGGGCTGGCCACGCAAGGTCCAGGCCAGCTGCCCAGGACTCTCCAACAGGCATCCCTGGGGCGCTCTGGAGCCATGAAGCAGGGAGGTGACGAGCCTACGGGAAATGCATAACAAAGGTCTGTGGATTTGGGATATGGGCTGCTGCCTCCTGGCCAATGTCAGCACCAACCCCAGCAAGTGGATGAAACAAATGCCAAGGAGGTCTCAGGTGCTGAACTGGTTAGGAGAGCCTTACCCAGGACTGGGCAGCCACTAGGGATCTAACTTCCACATGCTCCACCCACGCCTGGTTTCTCAGGGCTCCCCCTGCTGAGAAGGAGGGAAAGGGAAAAAGGAGGAGGGAGGCTTTGTTTCGTTTTTTGGTTTAGGACTGGGAAACCTGGGAAATCACAGGCCTAGGGAGAGAGCAGAAGGAGGCAACGACTAGCCACTGTGCAGGGGTCTCTGACGTGCGTAGCCACACACTCCACGAGGGTGACGGTGTCATTCCTGTCATGTCATCACATTAGGCTGCACTTGGAAGCCAGGCTTTGCAATTAGCACCCTTATCACTTAACCTATTTTTATTCACTATATATCCAAGTTATCAACACCCTCCAAGATGAAACCCGGGATTTTAAAAAAGGCCATTCTTGCATCTTTCCCTAGACCTTCTCCCCACAGAACTTTTTTTTTTTTTTTTTTTGGTTTTTCTCCAGTACGGGGAACTGAACTCACGACCTTGCGCTTGCCAGGCAGGCGCTTTTGCCACTGAGCTAAATCCCCAGCAGCCCACAGAACTTTTTAATAAACAGATTTCTTCCAACTGCCACAGGGAAAGTGGCAGCTGGGTGGCTGCTGAGCCTACCACCCTGCCACCCTAGGCCAGGCAGCAGGTCACCCCCAGTGCTGGTCCACACCTGGAGACGTTGGGAGGTGACAGGGATGTCGCAGGACCCTGGGAATTTGCTCAGGGCACCAGGGGTCCTAGACCACAACCCTTCTTCCAGAGGCTACCCGCACCACTGGGCCATGGTGTCACCTGTCATTGGCGACGGGCAAGGCGATCTCGAACTTGGCCAGGAACTGGAAGTACTGCTCCTCGGTCTGCTGTGTGAAGCCCGTCCCCACCAGCAGCATCCTGAGGTCCTCTGCGCGGATCACTCCATTTTTGGCTACTGAGCGGGAGCCCTTGATGTTGAAGATCCTCTGCAGACACTCGGACAGCCAGATGGGGTCAAGGAAGTAGAGGTTCCGCAGGCCGTGGCTGGTGTCGGGGAAGTGCAGGAGCGTGCCTGTTTCTATGAGGAAATTGATGGCTGCCGGGCACAGAGGGGAGCAGCGTTAGCCGGCCCGGGGGGACATTCTGCAGGGACCCTGTTCCCAAGGAGGTCTGGTCGCTCACCCTTCCTAGGAAGGAACTGGCATCTGCTGGGCCCTTCAGGTGCGTGGGCAGCCTGAGCTCAAGTTCTCCAGGGGACCCTGAACTCTTGCCAACATGCTGAGCCAAGGGGTCACGGGCAACTACTGGCGATTCCTTTTCCTCTAGAATTCTATCTTCGCAAATGCTCTACTTGCCCACATCAACTCGTGACCCTAAAATACAACACTCAGGGCTAGATCGGCCACTGGCAGATGCACGCAGAGCCGTGAAGAACCTGACTTGCCCGCCCCTGAGCAAGTTTCTCACTGAAGTTGAGCAAGGCCACACTCTATCTCCTCGCTGCAGCTCTCTCCCTGTGAATGAGTGTCTCTTTAGTGATTCGTTTAGTGTCGTATTTTAAAAAATGTTAATTTGAAAAAGTTAGTGATTTTCCTGTGTCCAGTGATCCTTGCGCACAGGGCCGAAGCGCTCCCTGGTGTCCTAAGCATGAGAAGGTTGTGATGGGCCTCACCGAGGAAACACCTGTGTTGCAGAAACACTGTTCGGGGACAAACTACAGGCGCTGTCGGCTGCAAGTTCTGTGTTAATGAATCAACCATATATACTAAATAAAAACAGAAGCATAGTTGAACTGGTGCATGCTTGTGATCCCAGCACTATGGGAGGCTGGGGCAGGAGGATACCAAGTTTGAGACCAGCCTGGGCCATTTTGTGACTTTGCAAGATCCTGTCTCAAATAAAAAGGGGTGAGGGTATAGCTCAGGGCAGAGGCTGTGGGTTCAGCCCTCAGAATTACAAAAGAAAAGGAGGGGGGGATGAGGAAAAAGGGGAAGAGGCCTATGTTTATATGCACAACACAAGGTTAAGTACTGATTAGCGGATGAAGCTCTTGGTTGCAGAGGTTCAAAGGAACCTGACCCTGCGTTTCCGCAGTGGTTTACCGTTCATTAATTCGGTGGTTGTGACCACTTTACGGAATACAACTGCCATGAATAATGAGGAGGGGGTGCAGTTGTTTAGCCTCTGCCTTCCCTTGAGGATAGCCAGCCCCGTGTGTCTGCCCTCATGCCCACCCAGATGCTGCCGTAGATGCTATGCGTGCTCTCTGCACAGGAAAAGGACAGCAGGAGCGATGGCAGGAGGCAGAATCTGAGACAAGGCGAAGGAAGGCAGCACATAGGCAGGGATCTGGGCTCTCACTCAGACCCTGCCACCCCGTATGCTGAGGGTCAGGAGATCGTCCTCAAGGGCGCCCATGCCCCGCCTTCCCTGGGGACTCTGGTTTTCTGCCCAGGCTTCCAGAGTTCCCCATGCAGGTGCCACTGAGTGTCCACCCCCACACCCACCAGACTGCAGGTCCTCATAGTCTTTGATGTCGTTGTCGGGTGTCTGCCCCACCAGCTGCTCCAGCTGCCTGTCCGTCAGGTACTGCACGTCATCGCCCTGGCTGCGGCGCTGCTGCTCCGCCAGCACGGCCTCCTGCAGGCTCAGGTAGCTCCTGGGGATCTGAGGACAGGTGGCTGTGGGTGGGTCCCTCAGGTCCGAGGCGCAGAGCCAGCTCAGACAACCCCCACCCTGCCCCCTGGGCTGAACCTGAGGCCCTGCCGCCCCTCCATCCCTCCAACCCTCCATCCTTCGCCAGCCCCACTGGGAACATCTGACCCCGAGACACAGACGTGTTTTGCAGCACAGCGAGAGGGGAGTGTGGCTCCCAACGGCGGGAAGCAGGCTCCCCGGGACACGCACCAGCCTCCCTGCCAGCCGCTGGCAGCCGATGGTGCTGCCCACGTCTTTCATGTTGCAGGTGACGTGGAAGATCAGCTGCCGCAGCCCCTCCTGGCCTTCCAAGCTCTTGCACGAGATCTCGCTGTGTGTGCAGAAAGATGCAAGCTTAGTCACACCCTTTGCAGAGGCCCGAGGCTTCTGTTTTCCCAAGAGGTTTGTCTTCAACACCAGGAAGTCTGGGGGCCTCATGCAAGAAGACGAGGGGTTTATGGAGGGCTCCCGGGTGCAAAGCGTGGTGCTGGGCGCCCTGTGATACGTCGCTTTGGTCTGCCTTCCCAACATAGCCATTTTATGGAAGAGGACAGTGAAATGCAGAGGTACAAGGTGACCCCCAAGGATCCCAGCTGTGCAGCAGCACACTCAGGCTGCAGCCAGTGCTCTGAGCCAGTGCTATTACCACAGATATCCAGGTGTCCTCAGGCCACACCGGGGACCCCTAAGCCTGCTCCTGCACGCTGAGCCAGGTTGACAGGTCCCAGGCTGCCTCACACATCAGCATCCAGGGTACTATGTCCAGAGAGAGAACCCTGAGAGCCACCAGTACAGCTGCAGCAATGCCCTCTGTATTCTCATCAGGAGACCCCCTGCTTAATTCACAGAGCCTTAGTTTCACCATCTGAGAAATGGGTTCAAAGGCCCCTATAACCTGCATATTGTGGTGAGAGTCCACAGACAGAAAGTGAGTGGGGTGAAAACCCTGGGTGGCTGGTCCCATGTGCATGGCTCATCCCTCTTCACTCTGCAGCCCCCTCCTCAAGGCATTGTCTCCCAGACTCAACGGCCACAGGACCACTGGACACAGTGTGACTCACGGAATCTGCCATGGTGTCGGGGAGACCAGAGAGGAAGGACGGACACTGCATCTCCAGGACCTGTCCTGCTAGGTGCTCGGTGTTCTGTGTCCTGCCAGGGCACCACCCTCCACCCAGAGGCGCCCAGCCCGGCCTCAGGAGCCCTGTGCGGGCAGATCCTGGGGAACACGACCGAGCACAGGCCAGCGCGCACACAGAGGCTGGCGTGGACAGGAGGACTCACTGCAGGTGTTTGAAAGTGATGTCCGGGAAGCCGGTGGCTCTGGACCCCGAGGGTGAGCGGCACAGGGCCAGCACGTAGGCGCGCAGAGTGGCGATTCTCTCCACTCGGAATTTGGCTTCGATCAAGTCCAGGTGTGTCCCGACCACCAGCACCACGGCGTTGGGGGCCTTGGCCTGTGACAGAGAACTCACAGCTGAGCCCTGTCTTCCCCCATTGCCTGCCACCCCAGGGACAGGAAACAGCCTCCCAGGGGTGAGGCCTGCCAGGACTGGAGGCTAGGGGCCCACCCGCAGTCCCTCTCCTGCAGCTGCCATCTCAAGAGGCTGCTCTCCACCTAGGGGTCCTGGGGTTCTCTCATGCAGTGGGTACTGAGTTCAGCCTCAGGGAAGATATCTGAATCTTCAGGAATTCCAGGCCAACCTGAGACCAGACCTTTATGGTACCCTCTTTTGCATCCAGGGTGTGTGGTTTTTTTTGGGGGGGGTCCTTAAATTTACAGTAAACAAGAAAATTACAAGGGTACCCCAATCTTAGGCTGGAAAGGACTGTGAGAGCTCCACGGTGACAGTCAGGTAGGACTTTCTGAGGTGCTCTGTGAAAGCTCCTCAAAATGCGTAGCGTTTCTCCCACAATCCCTTTCTGCTCGGTACGGGGATGCTGGGAGCAGTGGGGGGACCTGGTGATGCTCGGGGCACTGAGGACAGAAGGGAAGGGGTGGCACCCCTCACCTCGATGTTCAGCAGCCAGAACTGCAGGTTGGCTACAGCCTCCTCCCCCAGCGCCAGGTTCCAGACCACCACGTACAGGGCCTTGTCCGTGAAGAAGCACTGGTTCACGGTGGCCATGCTGGCGGGGCCCCCGATGTCCCACACGTTGAATTCCACGGACTCAACCTACTTGAGCAACCAGGCAGGACAGGGAGGCATTTCAGCGATCAAGGTTTTAGTAAGCCACGCTGAGAAAACCGATCAACTTCGAATGCTGTGCTTGGGGTTTGAAGGACATGTGGCCTCGGAAAAGTCAGGGACAGCCCAGTGTATCTTTCAGGGCTCAGGGATCCAGCGAGGGACAGGGGTCCCGCGGCACAAAAGCAGGCTTCTGGGGGCTTCTATCTCCTGCTAACCGGCCCTCGGGACAGGAGGCCTGGGGGACATGGGAGAGCATGACGTGCGGTCAGGAGACACTGCTGGAGGAAGCCCCCGCTCTGACGCCATGGCTCCCGCCGAGATTAACTTCCTGAGCCCAGGCGGGATTGAGGCGGCGCCTCCGAACTTGGGTAGGTCAGAGGGCAGCGCCCACCAAGGAGGATGGGAAACTCCCCTGATGTGGGAAGCAAATAACAGAGGAATTGCTGGGCTGCTGGGAAGGCGGTGTAAACGGTGGTTTTTCTATCATCGGATGAGGTCACAGCTGGCCCAAGACACTGGGGCTGCAGCTGGCAGGAGCGAGGAGGAGTCATTTCCATGATACAGCGCTGAGGCCTCCAAGACACAGACAGCGTGCTGACCTGGTTTCGTGTAAAGATGAAAGCAGACAGCTGTGCTCCGCTGGCTAAAGGTCAGCCACACAGAGAGCTGCGGGGCTCAGCAGCCGCAAGATTGGCCAGCCGGCGCTCGGTTATAGGAGGGGGATTTAGGGGTGGCAGACAGGAAGTGCACAGGAAAAACAGAAATGCGATTTCATCCCTCAGGCCTTCGATAACCATTCGTTAAAAAATAGCTGGAAGAAAGTGAGACTGAGTCACTGCTAAAAAGTCAAAGCCAGAGTGCGTGTAGAAGATTCTGGTTATTTAGAGAACCTTCCGACGTGAGTCAGCTAGACTCCCTGCTGGGGTGTTCTGGGTGGGCCTGGTATCACTTATTTAACTGTTCTGACCATGACACACAGGACTCCATTTTGTTTGTTTGTTTGTTTGCTTTTATGTTGGGGATAGATCAGAGCCTTAGACAGCTAAGCCCTCGCCCTACTGCTGAGTGGCACCCCCAGTCCCAAGTGCCACATTTTATTTTATTTTATCTTATTTTATTTTACTTTTGTCTCTCTGAGACAGGGTCTCACTATGCAGTTCAGGCTGGCCTTGAACTCACAGTGATCCGCCTGCCTCAGCCTCCCAAGTGCTGGGATTACAGGTGTGCCCCACCACACCCGGCAGCCAAGTGCCACATTTTAAGAGGACGGGTTCTGAGTTCGTGGTGATAGAATGTACACTCAGGTTAAGTGCCTCATTTCTCAAACTGGATTTCCCTGATTTAGAAAGTATTTTTGTGGGAAAATTCTTCAGTGAAACCTACTCCTTAGCTTTCACTGTGCCTGGGGACTATGCAAAAACTCATGCTACATGTCAACGAGGCCCCTGGGTGGCCCCTACACCGACCCCCTCCCTGGACCTTGGATCCCGGAGTCACCACAGGCAGCGGAAACACACATGTGGCTGTCAAGGATGGCACCGTCTGTGCGTGTTCCTGAGCACCCCATGCCACATCCGGGGCGGAGGGCCCCCAGCAGTCCAGACTCATCTCTGCTTAAAGAGCAAGAAAATGCCCATTTGCACGTGCCCGGTACTACATGGCGAAGGATGGGAGTGTGTGGAGTTTTCAGAGCCTGGGGCGAAAGCAAAAGCAGGAGGACAGAGCAGAAATTCCAGCAGTACTTGCTCAGACTTCTTGCTGGGGGCAGATAGATTCTGGGGCATACTTTGTTCCCAGCCCCGGTGGTGAGGAGCACCCCGGGCCATTTGTGTCTGAGTCTTTGGGGCCAGGGAGTGGTGAGGTCTATGCACTGCTGTCTTTTAAAGCCACCCAAGGGAATCAAATGGAAAGCCAGGGTTAAGATTCCCTGGCTCAAAGCCTCAGATTAATTACCATAGAAAAACTACAAGGTCACATAAAGAGTTGATTTGCTGTCCTTGGCAGAAGCTGGCTTGGAACAACACACAGCACACAGTGGCCCCTGCAAACACCCTGGACCTTGGACACCGGGCTGAGAAGCTGTGTGAGCTCTCCAGGGAAGAGGGAGAAGGCCCCCCAGGAAGGTCCCTCCCATCCAGGGGTTGTGCACGTTGACCATCCTTGACCTTGGCTTTGGAGCCTGCTGGCCTCTGGAGCTCCCACTTGGTCGTCCTGATGGTGGCCTCGCTGTGTGCCACCTGGGGGGCCCTGCCCGTCTGCAAGATCTCCAGGAGGGTGGACTTGCCCTGGCGGGGGGGACCCACGACAATCATCTTCATCAGCTTGCACTTTTCTGCCTTCCGCAGCTGAGCTCGCAGGAAAGACAGCATTGCCTTGGGGCCTGCGCGAATCACAAAGGGGTGAGTGGATGCCGCTGCTAAGGGACACAGGGGAGCATGCTCGCTTCTCTTAGGATGCTAACCCTGCTGCAAAGGGCGCCCCCTGGTGTTCTAAGAGGGCAGCCAAAGAAGATGGCTGGATCTGGTGCAGGGAGGCCAAGATCCAAATAGCCCCAGAAGTGAAGTACGAAAGTCAAGACAGGTAGTTTTACCACCTTGGTAACCACTGCTTTGGGGACAACTTCAGAGCCGCTTTGCAAACCCTGAAGCTGGAGCTGTTCCCTACGGGCCTCCCACTGTTCCCGGCCCTAGAGCCCAGCTGGTGGACCTGAGTTACTCTCTCCAGGAGGTGGCGCTGCACGGACAGGGTGCGGAAGCCCTACCTTCTTTCCTGATCTCCGCAGGCACATTGCTGATGCTCAAGTCTTCCACGTCCAGTTGCCACAGGTTGCTCAGCTGCCCCAGCTCAGGCGGGAGCTCTCGGAGGCCAGGGTTGCTAGGGTGCGCACGCAGGCACACACACACACACACACACACACACACACACACACACACAGAGCTGCCATCAGCCTCTGTGCACTGTGTGGTCTGCTGTTGGCTTCCACCCCTAGCCCCACACCTTGGACGCTGACTTCAGTGTCTCACTTACACACTAAGCCCAAAGCCTTCCTCCCTGGATGGTCAGTGGCACAAATGACAGCTCTAGCTTGCAGGTCTGCATGGCTTAGAATTGAGTCCCCTCCCCAAATTTCCTTGTCTCTTACTGGTTACACTACTATCAAAATGACCACAGCCTCCTCATGAAAAGGCAGGGTGTCTTTAAGATGAACATAAAGTTAGGTCTGGTGGTGCATGCCTATAATCCCAGTACTCCAGGAGGCTGAGGCAGGAGGATCACAAGTTTGAGATCAGCCTGGGCAACTTAGCAATTTAGTGAGACTCTGTCTTGAAATAAAAAATAAAGAAGGGCTGGGAATGTAGTTCAGTGTCAAGGGCCTGTGTTCAATCCCCAGTAACAGAATAAGAACAGATTAACATAATAGTTTATATTTTCATCAAGTTTTGCACAATGCCTACAAGCCCTGAAGCATCTGGCATGCAGTGGGTGCTCTTACACCCCGTGCGAAGACGCAAAGCAGGTATTGCTGCACCTTCCCCTCCACTGCCTCCTGCACCATTCTCAGGTCTGAAAATCTCACTACTGCTCTGGTAAGGAGATGGCTTCTTCCTGCCTGGCTGCTGTGTCCCCAGGTGACTTAAGGGAGGTCATTCTGCCCTCTTCAGCAGGCAGGGCCAGGCACCTGCTCTTGCCATGACTTACTTTCCCAAGTAGAGCTCTGATAAGCTCTTCAGCAGGCAAACGGAGGGCGGGACTGCGTCCAGGTGGTTGTCATTCAGACACAGGACTTCCAGGGAATCGCTTAGGAAGGTCGGAAATTCCAGCACACACCCTGCAAAGAAATGGCAAAGCACACTGCGTATTTTTCAGTAACTCCAGACCGTCGCTCGTGGAGACCAAGTGGATGCATGAACGGGTGCAACCTCCAGAGGGCATTCTGGCAATCATACCGGAGTACAACGCTCCTCTCACTCACCTAGTGACTCTAATTCTACAGGCATCCTTGCACGCAAAGGTGTGACAATGAGGACGCTTGGTGGCACGCTGCTTGCAATAGCGAAGAGAGAGGACAACCACGTGTCCACATGGGGTCAGCTCACTAACAGCATAATATGCAGTTTTTCCAAAGCATGGGACAGGTCACATGTAGATACAAAGGAATACTCAAGAGCTATTGATGAATTGAAAAAGCAACGCACCAAATCAGATTTCTAGGTTTATTAGCATGTCAGGACATGCCTGCAGAGATGTACACACACGTTTACGTCATATGCCTGCATGCACACACACCACAATGCACATGTGTACTTGCATGGGTTACACATGCACACTAGACATAGACACAGTTGTTAGCCGCCTGAATTCTGTCCTGTCTCCAGACAAGCGTCCTACCACAGGGTTGTATATTCACCCCATGCTCTTCCATGCTGTTTGATCGTTTTGTTTTCAGATACACGTGGGTTACTTCATCAGTGAAAGGGAGCTAGTTAATTAGAAAAGCAATGCTGTGGCCTAAGTATGTTGCCTAAGACGGCACTCTGAAAAACCAGCTGACTACTCAGTATTCAAATGACTTCATTAATTAGGCTAATTATGAGATTACCATTAAAAGCACGTCAGTCAAATCTGCTGTTTTCACTGCACAGGGCATTCGGGTTGAGAAAGAACGAGGCTGAGAGCTTGGAAACATACACTCATGCGGCTCAGAGGTTCAGGTTTCAGCAGAATCTCTGCAGGGCCTTCAGAGGAGATAGCACACCCTGGAGCTCAGGAAACTCGAGATAAAAGGAATGCCTCAGAGGAGGAGGAAGATGCCAGAGGAGGAAGATAAAGAAGCCAGGATTCCTTTGTTGGGCTGAAACCATGTTTGGTTGCCCTTGATTATGACTGCCTTTCTCAATACCGGCTTTTCTCCGCACAGGAGTGGCAGTATCAACAGTAACGGGGTAACTGGGCCTCAGAGAACATTCTAGAAAAAGTGACAGTGGAGTACCAAGATGGATGCCTGGAAAATGTGCCAGTGTGCATAGGGCTTGCTGCGGGCACCCCTATGGAAATAAACGTGCAGCAGACTTTTAAAGAGCGATTTGTAGTAGACCTTGTTCTACAAAGGTAGAGAGCTGCTCTGCTGTACAATATTTGCTTAGGGGACAGTGACAAGGAGCGAAAGCCCATGTGTGCTCAGTACAGAAGCAGATTCAGTTCAGAAAGATCTCTTTTCTCCGTTCAGTGAAAAGGGACGACCAGCCTTAGCATGCCCTAAATCACATCTCTCATGAAAGAACGTCTGTCACAGGAAAGGTTCGCTTTCTTCCCAGAGAAAGGGAGCATTCTGAACACCTGGCCTGAGGGCTTTCCAATTTTAAAGTTTCACCCTGGTGTTTATGAAGCCTCTCTAAGTGACGGATGAGTGGAATAAGGAGCTAGCGCTCCACAGAGGGGCAGCACCTGTCACACACCTCCTGGCCTGGAGTTGAAACTGATGGAAACCAGGCCAAGGAGAAGACAGCCCGAGGTATTTATGAACTGTAGTTATTTATTCATAAGTTATTTATGACTCTGCTGGTCTGAATTTTACCGTAAAAATGGCCATCCAAATTATTTTTGGACAAGGTCACGACACAAATATGACCACTTGAGTTTATGTAAATCTCTCTAGAATTTTACTATCCGTCTGCAAACAAGTTGTCTTTTATAGAGAAATCTTTTTAAAAAATTTTTTTATAGACAATTCTCTACATCAGGGTCAAGAGACCCGAGAGAACCCTACTTAAGAAAAATTCACAAGCTCACACTCACCCACCCCTGCCTTCTTCTCTCTTAACTGTGGGCCTCATCTTTCTAGATGAAACTGAAATTACTGAGAAGCTAAAGCCAACACACCCCTCCACCAGGGAACCTTCCAAGTGGGGAGGACTCCTCACCTGGATCCCCAGACCTGCTCCTGGATTTGCTCCACCCGCAAAGCCATTTTCCAGGACCTTCGTACCTTTCCTACGCTGTGCTTTACTGTACACCTTGACCTTCTGGCTGAGTGGTTGGTCCCCGAGGGAGGGCCCCCTCCATGGCTTCAGACAGTCTGCATTTCGAAGCCGGAGGCAGATTTCTAGTCAACCCGCCAGCAAGTGGCTTGTGTGATCACGATGCATCCGCACTCCCCTCTCATGCCCAGCACCCCACCTGGCCTCAGCGGGAAGATGGTGCTTGTTTCTCCTTTCCCCCAAGAGAAATCCCTACATCTGCACTCAATTTCAAGAGTCCTAAGGCCCTTCATTAAAAAGGACCCCGTTGTGAAATCCGTAACTGTATTTCCCTACTAATGTGGTGAAGGATTTTCTCATGTACCTCCGGGCTATCCAGACTTCCTTTCCTGCAAGCTGTTTATATCTGTTGCTCATTTTTTAACCTATTAGGTTGTCTTTTTTCTTTTTAAAAAACTCATTGGTAAGCATCCTTTGTGTATTAAGGACTCATGCCAATTTGTGTGCAATTCCTGTTGGAAATATTTCTTCTCTGCACAACGAGTTTGTTTATAATTCATTTTATTGAAGACAACTTTCCAGTATTTAAACAGTCAAGAGTTTTCTCTTTTTAAAAAATTATTTCTGGATTTCCCAGCTAGTTTTTTAAAAGGTCTTTCCCACCCTCAAACTACACATGTATTTTCTTAAGTGTTATTCTTTTCCTTTTTACTTAAACTCGCTATCTCCATGAAAACTTTATTTTAGCTACCAAAAATCAAACCCAGGATCTTCACATGGAGCTACATCCCTTTTAAATTTTTTGTTTTGAGTTGCTCAACTTGGGTTTGAATTTGAGACCCTCCTGTCTCAGCCTCCCAAAGTGCTGGGATTACAGGTGTGCACCACAGCTCACACAGAAACTTTTGTGGTTGATGTTGTGGTAGGGAATTTTATATTGTATGTTCCCTCTGGTTGCTAGATACTCAGTTATACCAGCACCATAAAAACAATAAAAGTCCTTTCTATTAAACTGCAATGCCAGTTTTGTCATATAGTACTAAATTTCTATACAACGGTCCCTTAGTATCCTCAGAGCCCTCTACAGGTACAAAAATCCAGGGATGTGTGAGGCCCATATAAAATGGCAAAGTATTTGCACAGAATTTATATACAACTCCCCATGTGATTCAGGTGATCTCTAGATGACTTACAATGCGTGACATAATGGCTCCTTGTACTGCAGCTATGCAAATAGCTGTCCCACTGTATTTGGTGAGGGGACAGTGACAAGGGGGAGAAGCCTGCACATACTCAGTATGGATGCAATTTTTTGTTAGTATTTTCAATCCAAGGAGGGTTGAACCTGCAGGTGCAGAGTCTGTAGACACAGACGACTGGCTGTATTTACTTAGGTTTAGTTCTGGACTCTCCTGTCTCTCCCACTGACAGGCTGTTACTTTTCCAGTCATATACGAGCACAGGCACGTGTGACCAGCCCATGTACATACCACATGTGCACACACACAGCAGTCCATCAGAAAGCACAACGGGCGGATGGACCACCTAGTTCACCTCCTGCAAATGTGTCCTGGCTCTGCCACATTTCTGTTCCTGGTCTCACACTGCCTGTGCTTTCCATCCATCCATCGTGCCAGAGAAGAAAACTGTAACACACCTGACACGACCTGAATTATTTTGGGACGGCATCCCGAGGGCTAATCCTGGGAACGCGGCTGGCTTTAGAAGTCTTAGCTTTGACCACAAAGTCCACCTCATAGAAAGAGAGAACAGAACAGTGGTTCCTGGAGCCGGGGAAGGGCGCGGGCTGCAGAGAGGATGGTTATGGGCACAGGGGTGCAGCTGGAGAGAAGAATGTTGACTGACATGCAGCAGAATAGTAGAATTGTAGCCAGCTACAATTCATTGTATATTTCAAAATTCCCAGCAGAGAGGATTTTAAATGTTCACCACACAAAGGTGTGAATACTTGAGGTGACAGAAATGCCAACTGCCCCATCTGATCACTGTACATTGAATACAGGTACTGAAGTGTCACGTACCCCGTACCTACGTACGTACGTACGTACGTATGTACATACAGTTACTATGTATCAACTAAACATCCTGTGCTGAACTGGCTGTTGAGTGACTGGGACAAAACCTCCAGGAAAAGTTCTGTTTCTGGCACACTAGGGAAAACCACAGGCCTTCTGCCTCCTCAGACCAGCCTTGGCCTGCGGGGCCCAGCCTGGCTGCGGCCCTTTGTGGACACTGCAGAATGTCACGGTATGGCAGGAGGGTCTAACAGCATGGGTCTTCTGGCCCTAGGGCTGGACCCCCGCTGCGTTCGGGGCGGAAACCTGGTTATTGGACAGGACCTAGGACAAGTCGGTCAAGCTATAGATGGAAGTGTGTCTCCCCAAATGCACACGTGGGGGCCCTAACACACAGCATGGTGGTATCCGGGGGCAGGGCCTTTGAGAAGCAATTAGGTTTAGACCAGGTCTTGAGGGGAGGGCCCTCACGTGATCAACATCCTTATGAGAGGACAAAGAGAGTCCAAAGCCCCTGCGTGCCCCCTCCCTGTGGGGACACGGTGAGAGGGTGGCCATTTACAAATCAGGTGGACAGAGCCCCGATTCGCCAGAACCTGACCAAGCTGGGGCCTCCAGGACAGCAAGACTGCAAATGGGAGCTGTGTAAGCCACCCGGCCCCAGGCCTTCCGCCATGGCAGCCTGAGCGGACTCACACACCCTGGAGGCCTCGGTTTCCTCCCGAGCAGACTGAGGCACTGCAGCCCACCCCTCATGCTGTGAGGATCGGCCCCCAGCTCTGGGAGTGGTGCTGGGCACGCCGGCACTAGCTACCTGCATCCCTGGGCTCCAAGAAGGAAACCAGGGCTTCAGGAGGTAGGCACGGCACACGTGCAACATGAGTAATAGCACCATTTGCTTGTGGGGTTCTCGGCCGACCTCGACCCTCTCGGCATTCCAGCAGGGCGCTGACGGGGAAACCCCGTATAAGGCGACTCTCTCTCTGGTGGAGTCCATCTCGCCACTCCCACACGCGCACACACCTGTCTCGGTCCCTGAACGCTGGCGGCCTCTGGTGGTGAAAAAGGAAATGCGCTTCGTTTTGAGTCCCTCTTCACTCCTGTAAGGGGAAAAGAGGAGCCATCGTTGGAGACAGCACCACAGAGAGTGCTATCCCGGCGGAGGCTGTGTGACACAGAGCCACCGAGGAGGCAGCAGTCCTCGCAGCACGTGTTTGCGCCTCTGCAGCTTGTATGAAGCTAGTGGAGCACAGGGGCCTTTTGCGAAAAGCATTTTAGGAAGGATGATCTAACGCGGGGTTGACCACTGGTTTCCATTCCCGGGCTTTTCCACTTCAGCAGATGCCAGGGTTTCTGTGCCCGGCACATTCCAGCGGCTGCTGCTCCGCTGGGCACCACCCTTGAAGGAAGCTCTCTCTGGGTGTACATTCCGCTGAGATGCGGGGGAAGCGGCCTTCAGCAAGTGACCCGGGGCTGGTCTTCCCGCCCCAGGCCACTGGGCCAGTCTCCATTTTGTCACCCTTTCCTGGAAGGCTCTCAGGTGGGCACTTTTCACTCAGCACACATACGTGTTAGCTTGTGACTGGCAAAGACAGCTGCTGCACAGAATTTTAGTTCCGGCTAAAGTGAAAGGCAAGATGGCACAGCAGCCCGTAAACGTTAGATATTGAAGGTCGCTGTCGCGGGTGGAATTGTGTCCCCTAGAATTGATATGCTGAAGTCCTAACCTGCAGGATCTCAGAACACAGCTGTATTTGGAGCTGAAAGTTGAGCATCCCTAATCCGAAATGCTGAGATCCACACTGTTCCGAAACCCTTCCTCACGTGATGGGTCATAGTCAAAATGCAGGCACACTAAACATACCTTGTAAAGTAACCTTCAGGGTATGTCTATAAGGTGCACAAAAGACATAAATGCATTTGTGTTCGACTTGGGTCCCCCCCACAAGATGTCTCATGATGTAAGTGCAAATATTCCCAACCTGAAGCACTCCTGGTACGAAGCCTTTCAGATGAAGGATACCCAACATGTACAGAAGTAGGGTCTTTAAAGGGGTGATGGAGTTCAAATGTGTTCATCAGAGTGGGCCCTAATCCAATGTGACTGGTGTCCATAAAGAAGAAGAAATTCAACCACTGACCCGCACAGAAGACGACTATGGGAGACACACAAAGAAGCCGGTGTATCTAAGTCAAGGGGAGAGGTCACAGGAGAAACCAGAGCTGCTGGCTCCGTGACCTTGGACTTGCAGTCCCCAGCATGGTAAGCAGTTAGTTTTGCTGTGCGAGTCCCTAGCTTGTGGTACCACAGCCCCAGCACTGACTCTACAACTTCCCCAGGGCCTGTCTCCTGACACATGCAGGGACACACACACCCCCTGCTTACTTGCCAAATTGGTTTCTGGAGAGGTCCAGGGTTTTGAGCTGTTTGCAGGTCCACTTCTCCTGAGGAGGCAGGGCCACCAGCTGGTTTCCCTGTACCCTTAAGAACATGAGGGTCTGAGAGAGGGAGGGAGAGAGAGAGGAAAAGACGGCATCAAATACAGACATGGAGGGGAGACCGAGGAGAAAAGTCAGTCAGCCGCCTCCCAAAGCGTGGCAGAACAGCTGTAGCTGATTCCTTTTTACAGAGGTCCCAGTTGTGTGGGTCCTGCACAGTTTAGGGACTGAGTGAGGTCCTATCTCCAAATAAAAAATATAAAAAGGGGTTGGGGATATGCCTCAGTGCAAAGGCCCTGGGTTCAAGCTTCATATTCCAAAAATGTGAACAAACACACAGGTGATCAGAGCAGATGGAATAAAGTGTCTACAGGTCCAGGAGGGGCAACTATAGAATGAAAGGGGTCCAAGCGCTTCCAAGAGCTCAGAAGTTCTAAGGGCCACCATTAGTGGTGACCTGCCCCAGTCTCGTGCCCTCTGCTGGCCAGCACAGGGTCCCCGGGGCACCTGTGTGGTGGCCTAACTTTTAGCCCTTTGCCTTCCGCTCACAGGTCCACTGGGACACCCTGGTCACCGAGGGGGACTACACTTTACCCTTGGACTTGTGACATGCTTTGCTCAGGGGAGTGCTGGAGACTGTGTGCCTTTTTGACGGCATCACCAGGACCCTGACCATCCCAGGCTGCTGTCCCTTGTGTCTCTGATTCGTTTTGTTGAAGGGGCGGACGTCACCACCCACCGTCAGAACCGGGGTGGGGGTGCCTGTGGCTGGCACTGGGGACGCAGGGGTCCTCCCAATGCCCTGGTCTGGAGGAGGAGGCCATGAGTATTTTGTCTCAGCGATAAGACAAGTAACTAAAACAGTGCCTGCTCCAGTTTGGACCTGGAATGACCCCCAAGGCCCCAAAGTACGGGCTCATGGTGCCATCGGGAAGTACCGGGACCTCTGGGAAGAGGAAATTAGGTTGTTGGGACAGAAGGGAACAACGGGACTCTCTTCTTCCTCCTCTGCTTTCCTTGGGGTCTGGCCATGAGGTGAACAGCTCTGCCTTAGCGGCCTCACGCTCCCTGCTATGATGTTTCACCTTACTTCGGGCCCCAAAGCTACGGACTATGGCCTGCAACCTCCAAAACTAAGTGCCCAAGCCAACCTTCCTTCACTGTAAGCTGGCTGCCAGTAAGGAGAAACTGACCAACAGCAAGCCCCTAACTCCACCCCGCTGAGGCCATCACACCCCCCGCCTCCCTGTCTTTGCTTACGAGCACATGTATTTTTATAGCCCAACTTTTCCTCCACCCGCTTTTCCTGGTTTCAGAAGCTTGGGAAAGGCATACAGATTCCACTGCACTGTGGAGTAATTTTGGCCACCAAAGCCCAACATGAGAAATAAAGTGCTGTGAGACTTACATCAAGCTGAAAAAGTCCCAAGGGAACTTCTTTCAGGGCGTTTTCTGAAAAATCCACATCCTTAAGGTGATTTTTCCAGAAGATAGACATTTTGTCTGGCAGAGATTCCAGCGCATTTCTGGATGCTTTACAACATTTCTAGGAGTTTGATGTGAGAGCAAAATGAATATTAATGGGCTTTTTCAGTGCAAGGATGTCTGGGAGACTGTTGGCCAATTTGATGCTAGAAATGAGGCCCCTGTCCACAGGGCTTGGTCATCAACAAGGGGCAGTGTGGGTTCAGAGGCTACAAACTCTTGTTGGCCCTGTGGTCCTGCCCGGCTCCAAGGAAGGGACGGGGATGGGGTTTTCTGGGGAGACAAAGGTGGCTCATGGTGCTTCTCCTCCACCCCAGGACATCTGTCCCATTGTTCTAGAAAATAATGGAACAATTCAGAGCCATGCTAGAGCTGGTTTCCCACACACATATGGTCAAACTCGACACGATAATACGAGGGATGGAGAATTTCCTGGTTGAAAACCAACAGCAACAAAGCACCAATATTCTTTTTGCCGTTCCACACTCCATCTGTGTTAACAAGCCAAGTCCCCAAGAAACAAAAACATCATTTAGCTGGCGGTGCTGCGAATGCGGATTGTTTCTCATTCTTATTTTATGGCTCTTCTAAAAGCACTGACCCCCACCCCTCTCGCAGGCAGAACCATCATCCCGTGCCAGGGTGCAAGCTGCCACTGGGGACGGTCCCGTGGGTGTGTTGTGTGGCTTGTGGACCCACAGCCAGGAGAGCCGGCTCACAGGTGCGCTACCTGCTTGAGACACTTGGCCTTGCGGCAACGCCGAGTGACAGGGCTAGGCTGCCAGTGAGCAATAACCCTGGTACCTCCAAGGAGGCGAAGTGAGAGACTGCTCGGGACAGCCATGAGAGATCCCCTTGAAACACAGAGGCGACCCTCTCAGTATGGTACTAACCAGAGGGCAGGCCCAGGGGTCTGGAAACACCTTCAGATTGTTTCTGGAGACATTCAGGCAACTGAGCGACTTGAAAGAATGCAGGAAAAGGGTGGGGAGTTCTGTCAGTCTGTTGTCAGATACGTCAAGTTCCTGTAGTTTCCGCAGACCAATCCAGTTGGTGGCTGGGGGAAGAAAAAGTTGCATTGGTTAAAAAGAAATTCTTGTCAGGAAAATGACTTAATGACATCAGGGCACTGATGAGAAAACGTACCGCTTTCTTCTTCGAACAATTTTTCTAAGTAATTTTTAGACGCTGTCAGTTTTTGAAGTTTTGAGAGGTGCAGGAATCCAGGCGGGAGGTGGGACAGCTTGTTGCTGGAAATGTCAATCTCAAGGAGCCTGGGGTTGGGGGAGAGGGAAGCCAAGGCGTCAGACGGAGGAGGCAAAGCATCACGCTACAATTTTGTTTGTATATGAGGTGATATTTTTTCTTTTTTCCCCTGCACATGGCGAGAGTGTGCGCTGAAAGTGTGGCAGTATGATTTGTATTCACTCCATTAATTGCTGCCACAGCTGCTGTAGAGAGGATGGAGTCTCTCTTTGTCAGTCCTGTTCTCTGATCAGCAGGGATTAAAATGTGTGACGGAGCAAAAGTGTCCTGCAAACTGACGGAAGACCAGCAGCAGGGACCCAAGCTTTTCAGACCCGTGTGGACTCACTTACCGAGCCCACGTTAAGAACGTATGCAGATGGTCCTTGCTCTTTAAGTTTGTGGTGCATAAAACTTGCCTGTGAGGCCTACAGGCCAAGCCCAAGTTCTTTCCAACATCCTCGTCCCCGACTTCACTTAGAGCCTTAGCTTTTGTAACAGGCTCAAACCCTCTACAGCATGAGGCTCTGCAGACATGGATCCTAAAGAAATCAGTTAAGTAGATCCTTTCCCTTCCCCTGAGGCTTCAGGGAGAAGGCCCAGGCCTCTCCCAATGCCCCCAGGAAAGCAGGGCTTTCCAGTTCAGGGCTGACACTGTCCCCATGCTGCCAGAGTCCCATAGAGTGGACCCTTTCTCCCAGACCCCTTCCCATTTTCCCTGGGGATGGAGTATAAGGTCTCCACCAACCCAGGAAGCTATCAGCCACCCTCCTCTGACTCCTGTGCAGGATCAGGACAGGCATCTTGGGCAGGCAGTTCTGTGTGGCTGTGGTGTGCAGCCTTGGCCAGACCATCTCTCTAGACTTCTCTGAGTTCACCTGAAAAGAGGGTGGTGCCTTGCTCCCTTTGCTCCCGAGAGCTTGTGTAAGAGCCGGCAGAACTTCCTTCTCACATTTTAGCCAGAACTTCTGTTTTCAAAAACATAAACCCAGAAGCCCACGCAGGAGGTCAGCGGTGGTGGCCTGAGAGCACTGCCCACCTGGAACAGATGATTTCGTCTGATGACTGCACGCTGGGCAGCTCTCCCAGGTGGTTGTCTGAGAGGTTCAGCTTCCGCAGGTTGATGAGTCCCCAGGGGATGACGGAGGGGAGGGAAGCCAGGCAGTTGGCAGAGAGATCGAGCTCCGTGATCTGGCAGGAGATGTCTATGAGCCAGTCGAGATTCACCCAGGGCAACCTGAGATGGGACCATTTCACACGAAGTGGCTGAGGATGGAGAAGGAAGAGCACAGGTGAACGGTGAGCCTATGTGGGATGCTGGGACCGAGCTCATGTTGCCTCCCCAGTTCCTCCCGTGGTGGCCAGCACGGAGGATGTACCTATTCTGACCTCCACCTGAATCTCAGATGGAATCTGCACACGGCTCCAGCAAGTCACCTTCCAGCCTCCAGAGGGCGCAGGTGGGCTCAGAGCCGACCCTTAGGCGGGTCCTAGCAAGGGAGTAAAGCAGCAGGAATCCCCTCCTGAGAAAAGGAGGCCCACTGAGGCCTGGAGGGGCCTCTCCTAGGCTGGATGTGAAGACCAGGATGGAAACCTGGTCTGTGACCTCTTTTCAGGGGCCCCTGTTCTGGGATTAGGGCAGCTGTCCTCTGCAGCCACCTCTACAATGCCAGGTCACATGTGTGAGCAGGCTGCTTCCAGAATAAGCGACTGAAATCCAAACGAGGAGTGGGCCACACTCGCGCAGTGAGAAAGAGACGCCGAGCGAGCCACTCCCTGCTCTTCACTCAGCTATAAACACGACACCCTAATGATTATCCACCTTTAAGCTTAGCGCGTGACGCCCAAGGAGGCGGTCATGGGCACCAGCGAGAGACGGAATGGGAGGCTCCTGGAGTGGTGGGTGTCTGACCACAATGGGAGGCTCCTGGAGCTGAGGCGGCCGACCCTTACGCACAGGAAGCCCGAGGTATAGAGGTTTCTCTTCCTCCTCCTTTTTCTATTTGTCCTTCTGCCTGCTCCTGCTGCTACTGTCCAGTGATCTTCCATAAACATAGCTACTTAGTACAAGGCGTATGCTTGGCAGGTCTTTCCTTGTCATGCACAAGAACCGGGACCAGTTTGGGCCCATTCAATTGTAAACAACACCATGTGTAAAACCAGACACCTGACGCACAGCCTGCAGCAACCTGGTAGGAAACCAACCCCTTTGGCTCTAATGCATAGCGCAGGCTGTCAGCCTGCTGCCAGACATGCAGAAGACCAGGCAGTTGCCTGCAGTAACAATTCAGGGAGCTACACAACAACTGCTGCAAGCATCAAGCCCCATCTGGCCAGGACTCTTCATAACTGGCAGCTTCCCTAAGTTTTGTTCCTGCTTCCAACTCAGGACAAGCAGGGAAAGCTAACTGTGCCCCTAACCAGATCCTTAGGACGGCCTCCCTCCAGTGACCCTCTGCCAGGGCCACCGGAACCTTCACTTTCTTCAAAGCCTTCCCATTCGGCTGCTGCTGCTGCAGGTGACCGCGGCTGGCTCTCTTGCCCTCGCAAGCCCAGAAAAAATGCTTTTGCACTTGGTTCATTTCCACAGGAGGAAGTCAGAAAGCCCAGTGGTTTGCTGGTGTGGAACAGTAAACGGGATCTGGTTGAATACGTATGAGCGGGACTTGTTCCTTCCTTCTTGATTATCAAAGTATTCGGCCTCAATTAGGTTTCTGGGGAGAGGAAATCTGCTTTTTGGCCTGTTTCTCCAAAGCAACTGGAAATCCATAACGGAAAATTAGAGGAGCAGAAATATAAACAGAAATTAGTGCTTTGCAAATGGGAAAATGTAAGAACCCGCAGGGACTGTGGGAAAGACACCAATAATGTGGGATAAATTGGCCTTCGAAGTTGGCAGCAGCTAAGGGGTCGCCATCTGGCCACTAGGTGGCGCTGTGTGCCCTGTCTTTGATCTCCCCACAGCCCAAACCTGGAGATTGGGGGTCCCCTTTCCTTTTCTCCTGTCCCCTCCACTCCTATGTCCTCACCCCCCTCCCCTGCTCTTCTCTTTTCTCTCTCTCTACGTGTATGTATGTACCATATATCGCACTGATAATGTAAAAAGACCAGATTCACCACTTTTAATGCGTCACATTTACTTGTTTACTTTGTTCCTCTCTTCCAGCATGAAAACACCCCCACACACGCTTCACTTTTTGCTGAGTCATTGGCAAGTAAGTGATACATCATGACATTTCACCCCAGACACTTCAGCACACACCTCTGAAGAGCAGGAACGTTTTCTGTGCATGATTATAATTTTCGACATACAACATCCATAAAACGTTTTCAAGTCCAAAGTGTATGTACAAATGTTCCCAGATAACCCAGAAATATCTTTTATAACTACTCTGCGTCGTGATACGGGGGTCCCATCAAGAATCACACACCGCAAAGCCAGGCGCTGTGGTGCACATCTGTAATCCCAGTACTTGGGACGCTGAGGTAGGAGGATCACTATGGGTTCGAGGCCAGCCTGAACTACATAGTGAGAAGCTGTCTCGAAAACACCAAAAATAAAAATAAAAACAATCACACACTGCATTTAGTTGTCATGTTCCTTTACTTCTCTGCTCTGTGAAGGGTCCTCCTACCGTTGTTTGCTAAAGCTTCGATTCAAGTTAAGCATTCATTTAGGGGCTAGACTGGAGACAATGTCGAGTACTTCCTACTGATACCAGCCGGGGGCACCAGACCACAGACCGAGGCTCAAGGGCCAGGTTTGACCTTCGGTTAAGGTAATGGCTCTCAGACCTCTCCCTCGTGAAAGTACATTTTACCCTTTGTGATTCACAAGCAAGCTGTAAGGTGGTATTTGGACAGAGTATTCCATAGGTATACCACTATGTTTCTTCCAGTGGGTTTAACATTCATTATCGGCCTTGGTCTGAATCAATCAAACCGTGGTGGCTGCAGAGCGGTGATTTTTCTGAAGCTACCGTTCTTTCTACATTTACCGCTAGGCATTCCTCCTGCACAAGCGCGTCCCCTCCCGCTACAAAAAAAAAAGAGAAGTGTTGCTATGGACTGTTTAAAGTCTTATAAATAAAACTCTGTAGGACTATCAAGAATAATAGAAAAAAATCTGATCATTACGATGACATGAGTCAATTATAGCAGGAATTATAGCCAGACATCCTTGGGAAATCAACTAAAATGTTGCTATCTCTAGAATGGGACTTTCCCTCCTGCCCTCTTCATGTGCCTAGAGCTGGAGCTGCAGCCTTCAGCTGCATAGGAAGCAAGGCCCCATCTCAGCTGAGCCCTGGATGACTCAGTGGAGGGGACGCATTCCTAGGTTCCACCCAGCTCAAGGTCCCCGTACCTCCTCATTGGTTCTGGGCGGTGCAGACTCGGCTCAAATCCATCTCCCCTGGTGCAGCAGGCAGCATGGCCCAACAGAGAAGGAGATGATGCCTCCAGCGCCTGCTCGACCTCTGCAGCTCCACAACATGCCCACCATGCAGCGGGCAATGAAGGGTCCAGGTCCTACGGAGAATCTGGCCGAGAGCCCTGCAGTCGCTCTGTTCTGTACGGCAACCATCCTAAACCATCAAGTTTTGCTCAAAACTGTTCAGACTCCTGAGCTGCTTCTGCTTGGAGATGCTCTCTTGGAATGCAGCTATTATGCTGACAGAAAGGGCTAAGATGGGAAGATAATGGGGGAAACACTGGATTGGCTGGGCCTTGGGCCAAGATAGCCCTTGCAATGCTCCTGGGGCCGGCCTCATTTTGATGGTGGGTACCCTGAGGCTAACTGTGTCCTATGACCATGACACAGGCCAAACAAACCACCTCTCTCTTCTGTACCCTGCTCCATTTCTTCTCCTCTTCGTGGCCCATCTGAATCCTATTTTTTCTTCAATACTCCCTGTGTATTAGTCTGTTTTCTGTTGCTAAAATAAAATACCTGCATCTTGGTATTTTGTAAAGAAAAGAGGTTTCTTCAGCTCACAGTTCTAGAAGTTCAGAGCTGCTCAGCTCTGGGGAAAAGCTCTGTCTGCATCCTATGGTGAATGGCATTGAGGTGGGAATGCATGTGAGTGGGGGGCATCACATAGTGAGGTAGGAAGCTACAGAAGGATGTGGGGGCCAGGCTTGCACTTTGAGGACTTGCTCTTGTGGCACATCCGTCACACTATGAGACCAGCACCAATCCCTGTAGTATTTCTAAGGATGTAACTACCTCCTGTTAGGTCCTACCTCTTAAATTCCCAACACCTCTTGATACCTCCATGTTGGGGTCCAAGCCTTTTAGTATATGAACCTTTGGGGAACAAACCACATCCAAACAATAGCACCCTGTCTCTAGGAGCACCATCATTAGCCCCAGCTGTTACCATTCTACAACAGGGCCGCCATCTTGTTTAGCTTGTATTTGCACATCCAGCAATGATTTCTTGAATGGTGCTACAATGTGTCAACTACTCTGTCAGAAGCGGGTGGAAATAAGCTTGCTGACAGATACTGCAGACAGAACCAAGACCCAGGAAGTGTAGCTCTCAGAGGGAAGAGGTGTGTGTGGACGTGCAGGTATGCATGCTCCTTTGGCTGCCCCCGGTCAAGGGTTTCTTGCTTTCCACGGACTCATAAATAAGTGTATGATGGTAACCACCCAGCCAAGAAAGAAAACTTGCATGGAACTCTCCTGTGCTTCTTTTGGGGCAGTCGTTCTACCAGAAGAAGTGAGTGACTGTGTGTGCCACTCCCCTAGACATGAGGAAGAGGAGGAGCCAGAGGCTGCTGTCCATTCCTAGAGCTCTTTCTAGGTCCTACACCCACCGGGTTTCCTCATGACTGACCTCTGATAAACAAGCCCAGACAGAAGTATTAAAAAGGAGATGTCTGGAAGCACAAAGACACATTTGGAAGACAGACACAGCTGCAAAGTGATGCCCGTTGGACTAGATGGAGGTAGAAAAACACGTAAGGCTTCTACTGTAGATAAAGAATATTCCCTCAGAGCACCATGGGTTTGGAAGGTGATTGGGTCATGGGGCTGACAGAGGATGAGTTCAGAGCTAAATGTGCGGATAGGGGGTGGGGCCTGGTTGGAGGTGGGGTCTCTGGGGTGTGACTTTGAAGGGTGTACTCGTGCTCTCTGGTGCCTGGCTGCCATGGGCTGAGAGTCTTTTCCCTGCCATGCTCTTCACCATGCTGTCTCTGAACTGGAGCCAGCCAACCATGGACTGAGCCCTCTACAAATCAGGAGCCAGAATAAGGCC